TAATCTCGTGCTTCAGGCCTATAAAACATAAGTATTATACCTGGAAGTACTTTGACAAAGTAATAAAGATGGAGAGTAGAGGAGAGGAGAGGGAAGAACAGCCAGCTCTTTTTTAATATGGGTCACATTTTAATTTTTAACGTGAAACTAAAGTGAATCAACTCTCAGCTCCAAGTTCCGTCTGCACTGTGGGAGCATCCAGCTGGGGACTGAACAGATCACACTGGGAGCAATTCCTATAGCATAAGGCTGTTTGGTCAGGATCTGTAATGGGATCATGGAATCATTTGAGTTGGAAGTGACTCTTAAATGCCATCTGGTCCAACTCCCCTGCAATGAACAGGGACACCCACAGCTCCATCAGGTGCTCACAGCCCATCCAGTCTGACCTTGGCTGTCTGCAGGGATGGGGCACCGCCACCTCTCTGGGCAACCAGTGCCTCACTACTCTAATAGTAAAAAACTTCTTTCTTACCTTACATCCAGTCTAAATCTCCTCTCTTTTAGCTCCCCTTGTTACAACAGACCCTGCTGAAGAGCTTATCCCCTACTTTTTTACAGCCCCTCCTTAGACACTGAAATACTGAAAGGGATCCGTAACTTGAAGTGAGCAGCAAGCTGCACAAAGGGCTTCACTCTTCGGCCCTGCCTCCATTCCCATCTCTGCAGCCTTCCTGCGACCCAAAGGCATTATTCCACAAAGCTACGATCCTTCTTCCCAAACACAAGCACGTGGAACCTCCACATCCCAGCACCCCTGGTTTCCCCCCCTCACTCAGAGCTGGGAGAAGTGCCAGAGTTGGGTGCTAAAATCACCCATCCCCCCAGAAAAGACGAAATGATTTCCCTGTGATTTCCCACCGAAGCAAATACCCCTCTGGCCATATGCTCAAGCTGTGGCAGACGCCGGCCCCACTCCCACGCTCGTTATTTACTTGCCGCTTGCTGCCTTCCTTCTGCCCCACTGACCCCATTGCTCACCGCCCTCACTCTGCCGTTAACCCCATTTCGGTTTAGGGGATGATTCACTCTCAGTGTCCAAGGTTTTCACCATCAAAAACTTCTCTTAACCATGGAAATCCCACAGGCAACGGGATGGAGGAGCCCCCCGGGACGACACGATCCCAACTCTCACCACCAATGGCTGCAGAGAGTGCAGAAATCCTGCTGCTCTCTTTAAGTCCCTGTCTGCATTAGCACCAGCTCTCACGCTTTTTGCCTTGTCTTTTCCTTTTTTTTTTTTTTTGGCCATGTGTCACTAATTTTACTCATTTTCTGAGTTTGTCTAGAATAGTAAAAGATTTGATTAGCACGTTCCTGGTTTTAATTGTAATTAGGACAGTCATTGTACAAGCTATAAAAGGAAATTGGGCTACTGCTGAGTGGAAGAACCCCTGAGAGAATAGGGGCTGTGAAGGGAGAATTCCGTTCATAAAGAAGGAAAAGAAAAAAAAAAAAAAGGAAAATAAGAGCTGAGAAAGAAGCAAAACTCCAGCTTGGGATGCTGTGAGCCGAAGTGGGCCAGGCACTTGGGGCCATAACAAAAGTCTGGTTCCAAGCAATGTCAGCATGGGTAGTTTCTTCCCTGATGCAACCCTGCTGCATGACCTTGGCCAAAGCAAGGTCTGATCTTTCAGTTTCCCTCACCAGGATGGTTTGGGGGACTGTAAATTAACAGTCCCTTTTGCAATGCACGTTGTGATCCCTGTGATACAGGAGCAGCAAGAAATTACCCCCAGCCTCCATCACATACCAGGAATCATCTTGCTGGTGGACAACATGGACACCTCCTGTATTCGAGGGACAGCGAGATGGGCCAGGTCCCAGGAAAGGACATCGGCCAGTTCTGCTTCTTTCCAGCAGAGGGAGGGGAAGGCCAGTCCAAGCCCATCGCAACAGCGTTAATGTAGGAAAGACACCTAGAAATCGGATGTGTGAAGTCACGCTGTCACACAGCCATCACCTTTAAAGCCCAGAGGAGTGGGGCTCCCCTGGCGCTTTGGGATGGCCATGTTGGCAACCCTGCCCCCACTGGGGCCAGAGGAAAAGGGGGATATCAGCAGCCAGGGGGATATCAGCAGCCACATTTCTCATCTGACTTAATCTCATAGATAAATTGCTCTTAACAGTCATGGCCGAGATCTCCGGTCGCATCTCCAGCCCCTCTGAAGAGACAGCCCCCAAACGCAGGCAGCCTCCAAAAAGTGACAACCAACAGCACCCAGGAGCGTGTCACCCTGTTGGCCCCCCTGGCTCTCTTGCACCTCTGAAGCTGTCAGTCTGACACTAGAAAACTCAAGAAAAATCAATTCTCCCCCTCCTTCTGCTCTGTTTCCACCATGGGAGGCAGTCATTTTTCTGAAGCAATTTGCCTTAGTTAAACAAACAAATAAATAAATAAAACCAGCAAAGCTCAGGCTGCTCGTGGCACATTAACGTCTATCAGCCATCGCCTGCCACCTGCTAATGATCTCACCTCCAATCTCAGCCCCAGACTGTGGGCTTTTTACCACTGCATTTAAAGCAAAGGACAAACATAAACCAATCACTTCCCAGCATGGCTGCGATTTTCATTAGTCCAGGCAGCGAGGAGGGGTGTATTGCTCTGCTCGGCCCTTACTGCCTTCAGAATTGATGGATTTTATTCTTTTTCCCCTAGGAGCTCAGAAAAAAAATGGAATCATCACCTCTGAGCGGGAAGAAACTCCCTGTTTGCATCTTTCTCCTTGCAGGGGCACGTGCTGCTGCTCTCATTTTTCCCCTGTAAGGTCTGAACCCTTCACATGGCCTACAACCCACACCCTATGCTAACACACTGTATGCATAGTTGTAGATTTTATATATATAGTTTGTATGTATATGTATACATCTCTAATGTGCATAAATATATGTGAGCACATCAGGGGAAACAACTGAAGCGTTGGGCTTGTGGTAGGTCGTAGGTAAAAGAGGCATTAATCCCCTAGTCAAATCTGCTTGTCTTCCAGGAGCTGAGCTCACCCAGGGCAGGAGGAGTTCTGTCTGGGGCTGACACTTGCTCCTGCTCACATGATTACAGAATCAGAGGTCAGTTTGGGTTGGAAGGCACCTTAAAGATCATCAAGCCCCAAAGAGCCTGCCATGGGCAGGGAACCTTCCACTACACTGGGATGATCGAAGCCTCACCAAATCCCACGATGGCCAAGTCCCCGTGCTGCAGGCTATGGGTCACGTACTCATCCTGTTCCAAAGTGATGCATGCTGCTTTCTGCAGGAGCAGCACTTCCCTTTGCACATCCTGGCATTCACCACCCTTGTTAGATAAATGAGAGAACACACCCAAAGGCAGGAGAGATTCCCCATAGAGTCCAAAGAAGTCCAACAGGGAAGTGGCAAGACCGTGGCAGTGGACTGGTGCAGAAAGTTCCAGCCAAGACCTTCAGATCACACGTGGGGTTTCAAGGTTCCAACCACCAGATGCTGAGGATGTGCCACTTACCTGGAGCATCAGGTGGCATCATAGGACTCAGGGTCCCCACAGAGGCAGCCACAAATTTGGGGTTCTCAAATGCAGTGGATGAAGGTAGGCGGCCGCCACAGCTTTACAGATTACCGCTGTCTCCAGCGGCAGGGCTGCGCGTTACTGCTGGGAGGTTCCCATTTTATCATTTAATCAAAATAAAGTGCATTTGTGGATTACACAATCATTTGTAGACCCTGCTGATCTTTTTCTGCTTAGCTCGGCACTAGAACTCGGGCAGCAAACAAAGGCATTCGGAGCTGTCGTCAGACTTGGACACGCTGGCTTCAAGCCAGAAACTCTTGACAAAACGAGGCAATTGGTACTGAAGAACATTCTGGCTATTGTGAAATATTAGATACTCATTTATTTTGCCAACCAATAGTTTTCTTATTTATTTTTTTTTTCCCCAACTGAAACAATAGGAGAAATATTGAGAAGGAGAAAGAAAAGCATAAAGAAAATCCTGCCTGCAAAAGGATCAGAGCGAAGCACCAAACCCCACAGAAATTGCTCACTGAGCTGCCAAATTTGACCTCAGATTGTTCATGCTCCAAGTTGGAGGGAAAACGTTCAGGAAATGATACTTAAACCTGGTTCCTGTACACAGCGCTGCGTCCAACTGCCCAGTGCTCAGCTTCCATGAGCTCCCAGGGTCCCACCGACTGTGGCACTGACACAAAATCTGGGGAGACAGAGGTTCAGGTTGGATATTAAGAAGAATTTCTTCTCAGAGTGCTGAGGTACTGACAGCCCAGGGAGGTGGTGGGGTCACTGCTCCCAGAGGTGTTAAAAAAATGGTAGGTATTGCAGTGAGGAAGATGGTCTGGAGCAGTCACAGGCAGGGCTTGCTGGGTGGACTAGATGATTTTAGTGGTCTTCTCAGCCTTCACAATTCTATGATTTGAAGATGAGGGGATAAAAATCATACCTTTGTGGAAGTCCAGCTCTTGCTGCTGATGGTCTCAGTGCTGGAGAGCAGGAAACCCACAAAGAAACATAATCATACATAAACATCCGGTTTGTACACATGGTAAATGCAGACAAAAGATGCATCTGTGATCTGTAACGAATCAAATTACTCCAGAGGTCGGTCCCAGGAGGGAAGACACAAAGTCAACAGGAAAAATGCAGTTTCGATTGTGGGATTTTGGTTCTCATGCTGGGCAGAGCCATGGCTTGGACCCCACACACCAACCTGCTCCTGCCTGCCAACAGCCCCGTGCCCACCATGGCCACCCAGTGTCACCACACACAATCAGCATGGGGACTGCATTAGGATCTTGCCCATCCTACACCACCATTTGGAAGTAACCAGGATCTCCAGGCACCATCCTTTGACAAGCAAAACAAAAGGGTTAAAACCAATGAATTCACCACAAGGTGCCCATTCAGCAGAGAAGTCTCCACATCACAGCTCACCAGGCTGCACATCCCAGTGCCATTTTGGGCCGCTTTCCTCCCTCCCAAACTGCCCACAAACACAGACCAGACACCAGCATTAGCAAAAATGTTTAATCTCTCCTTGATGCGTGTGTTTATTTACAAGTACTAAATCTGAAGAACATTAAAATAGGAAATAGCAGGATATTTACACGATCAAAGGGTGTGCGGCCAGCCACGCCAGCCTGTTGCTTCAAGTCTGAAATCATCATCACAGAAAGTTAATCAAGGACTCTGGATTCTCATTTATTTATTTATTTCCTCCCCATTTAATTTTTTAAAACTATTAAAACTCTCTGCTTTTCACCAGCTTTGCATTAGTCCCCACCCCTGCTTTCTTAAAGGACAGCTCATGGTGCTCTTTGGGGGCAGGATGAGCCTGGGGGTCACCCCCTGCTCCCCACCCTGAGGCACAGGATGGGGATAAGGGGCCTGGGGGCACTTCCAGGCCAGGCTGTGTTTTTGGGAGCCTCCCACTGAAAAGGCAGCAGGGGTAGGCAGGGGCCTGCTGGCAGCTGGTGGAGTTTGGCCTCCTCCATGCTCCATCCCCAAAACGCAAGATGGGGGCACGTGTAGTGTCACTGATATGGGACATCCTGTGATGCCTCCCAGCCTCTCCCCCAGGCAGGGGTAACAGGCTGCCTGCAGGATTAAGGACACTGGGCATCAGGTGAAAGGCAAAGGTAGCACCAAGGAGCAGCAGGGGCTGCAGGCTGCACTGCAACACGTCCCCCATACGCAACCATCTGCCATGGAGGCACTCGGGACCAGCAGCAAGGGGACCCCAGAGGGATCCTTGAGTGGAGCAAAGCCCCAAAGCCCCCTCAGGAGGAAGACATCAGCCCGTCCCCAGGACCACACTGGACTCTCCTCATTGCATGGGATGGGGAACACAGGACAGGTTGAGCCTGGCAGTGGAGGCAGAAGAAGCCAAGAGGAGTTGTGAGAGCCCAGCAACACTGTGACACTACTACCCTGCCTAGCACAGCCCTCTGGAGACTTCCATGCTGACCACCCCCCAGGACCACCAGGGCCATGAGAGCCATCCAACACGGCTACCAACATAGCCAAGGATGTGCTGCAGCACTGCAGCAGCCTGGTGAGCCTCTGATTTTGCCAGCACTTCCCGAAAATTTCAGAAGGCTCAGACAAAAACCTCCATCCTCTCTAACCAGCAACAGCGAGGGTACCACCATCTCCAAACCACCACCAAAATCCCACGTGCTCAGCTCCACCAAAAGCCACCAAAGATTCCTCAGACGCTCTTACCGCCGCAGTGGGACCACAGGATCGGAGGGGCTGCCGCAGGGATGCCAGAACCTCGGGCCGACCTCACACCACACCTGCACCAAACCCAACTGTGGCACGGCTGCAGCTCCCACCAATGCTGGCCCCATGAGCCGTGCCATTTGGGGACCCCACGAGGGCTCTGTCCCACCGAGGCTCCTGGCGCACAGCTGCCCTTTAAGGCTCTCCGAGTACCACAACGTCAATTACTGAAGTCTTTTTGCTTTTTTTTTTTTCTTTCTTCTGGACAAGAAAGTGACAAATTAATTTCAAATAAAAATAAAATCAAATAGATAAAAGGCTTAAACAAACCTCTAGGATTCAACACTTGCAGTCTTTTTATGCTTTTGTTTTTTTTTTCTGTTTCTTAAAAAGATCAACTCAGACTAAAATCTAGCACAGTCATGCAACAGCCCACAGCTCTCAGATACCAGCTTGGGGTTCCCAGGTTTGGGAAACGATTATTACTTCTTTTTAGAACACTTCTGTTGTGGCAGTTGGTTTTTTTTTTGTTGTTCTCATTTTCTTTTTTTCAATCAGCATCTTCTCTTTCTCCTCTTTATTAAAACAAAACCAAACCAAACAAAATCACAACATAATGAGAGATGTGCAGGCTTGAAACGATTGTTCTGCATGGTGAGAAATGCTTGGAAATTTCTTCCAGACCATTTGGTATCCTTTTTTTTTGTTTGTTTAATCTGGCTGTGTAAATTTATTTCATATTTATATCGGTTTGATTCTCCTTCAGTTAACTATACAGCACCCCACTGGGGCACGAGAATTAGATTGTAACCACATATATATATATACACACTTTTATTTTTTTTTTTTTTTAATTAAAAACTTCATTATTTCTCCCTCTCCCCCCCCCCCCCTAACTTGCAGTTTATGGGAATGGGCAGAAACCAGAGGGCTCCTGTCCACTTGGACTTCTGCTGTCACCACTTCTGGCAGAGCACGATCCCCTCTGCTCAGCCCAGGGAGCAGCAGGAGCTCTTGGGACAGAAAAGGAAATGTATTTGCTCAGTTTTTTGAAAGTTTTGGTCACCTGCTGCAACTCCGGGCAGCATTCGGCACCTTTTGTTGTTGTTGTTGTTCAGGAAAGTAGAAAACCGTGCAGATCTGACGTTTGGAAGGGGGTCTCCCCGTGAAATGCCAGCAGGCACAACTGTGGGAAGGGCAGATGGAGTGGAGGGGAGATGGGGTGACAGCAAGGAGAGAAAGGGGGAGAAAGAAGGAAAAGAGAGAGAGGAAAGTAGATGTGGAGTGGGAATCCCTGCACAAGCCTGGGCTGCCCGGGGCAGGGGAGCAGAGGACAGTCCCAGTTCGGTCCCTCCGTGGGCTGGTGCCCAGCTCCAGCCACAAGCATAGCACGAAGCAAGGGGGAAAAGGTAACGATCCAACCGTGGGATCCCTACGTCAGCACAATAAGATGGCAGGAATCCTGCCCCTCCCCACCCCCCCGTAAACAAAAATAAAACAGCAAAAAGAAAAGTTTTCAATCATGCAGTCATAATGTCAATCCTGTCCCTGCCTTCTCCCTCCAAGGAGCCGAACCTGAAACCAACTGACTGGTGCTGTGGGTGGCCAGCAGGAAGGCAGTGGGTAAAAGCCAAAGTACCAGGCTGGCTCTCCAGGTCCCCTGTCATTGCCATCCTCCCCTCTGCAAGGATGAACCCTAAACGCATCCCCCAGCCATCCCCCAGGGAAAGGAATACCGACCCTCCTCTCTGACTTCCCTCAGCCAACTCACAGCCTCCAGAACCACTCAAGCAGCATTTAAATAAGAGCATCTACTCAGCTAACAAAACTCCCACTTTTTTTGTTGTTTTGATCTTTTTTTCTTTTTTTTTTTCCTTTTTTTTTTTTTTTTTTTTTTTTTTTTTTTTTTTTTGCACTAAACAACATTCAAATAAAACATGGCACAGGACGTATTTTCAGAAATATCAAAGCTCAGGGATTTCTCCCTTTCCTGCCCACCCCTGCTGCCCCCACCACCAAATCTCCCCAGCATCAGTCCTTTAGCTTATTTTTTAAAACCGTTTTTCATGAGTTAGTTGCAAAATTTAGAATCCTCTTTTTTTTTTTTTTTTTTTTTCCCCTCCCATTCTTTGTTATACTTTTTATTTTTTTTTTCTTTAAATTAAAAATTTTGTCTCGTGTAAATTGTGCAAATATAGCAGTTAACACTAGTGGCAGAAGGCCAGAGAGAGAGAGAAGGGGGGAAAGAGACAGAAAAAGAAAACAGAGGGAGGAGGAGAGGGGGCAGACAGCTGGGGGGGCAAGGAGGGGAGAGCAAGTCAAGTACAGTACAAACAGGAGCCCACCCCCCCCTCCCTCCACCAAAGTAACAACATCCAAATGCCGTCCTAAAAAGCCCCACGGTCCCAACCCTCCTTTCCAGTGGGCTCAGGGGCTCTGCCTGGCCCGGGGGGTCCCAGCGGGTCCATGGGGCACGCGGCTCTCCCTCCTCCACCGCCCCGCTTGGCCCCTTTGCAAGGTCTCTGCTGTGTCCCGGTTGCATCGGGGTGTGCGTAGAGGGGTTTATCCGTGTTGCTGCTGTCGTCGGGATTTTGTTTTCCGCTCGCACGCGAGGTTTTCCTTGTTCATTTGTGGGAAGTGTGCGGAGGCACCCGCGGGCACGTCCAGCCCCGGCCCCGAAGTGTCCTGCCTGCCTCCTCCCGCCGCGTCGCTGCTTGGGAAGCTGGCACCGTGCCGCCTCTTCAGCTGCTTAAGGCCATTGTGTCAATTGCCTGCTCCAGCTTACTCCTCAGCCGCTGCCTCCTGGCCTGCTCGTCCTTCTCTAACGCGGCTAAAATCTGCGGGAGAGAGGTGAGAAGGGAGGCTGAGAATCGGCCCTTGCAGCACATCCCGACCCCACGCAGCCATGGGGTCCCAGGAGAGGCATCCTGTGTTGGTTCCCTTTGTCTAATGGAGGAGGGGAGAGGTGCAGGACGCTGCCCCCAGCTGTCACCCAGCAGATAGAGCACCCCACAGGCTGTGGTAACACCAGGGATGCGCAGCTGCAGCTAGCAAGAAGCCAACCCAATGAATAGAATTGAAGAAAATGGACATCTAGCGTCAAACGCAGGGCAAATCCAAAAGGCAGTAACTGCTTCAAACTACATCCATGACCCCAGAGAGTCTACCAAGTCCAAGAGAAGCACGGGCTGCTCTTCAGAGACCACAATCAAGCCATGAAGCCAAAAAAATGTGCCAAACCCACAAGGCTGTGGCTCCCACTAGGAACAAAATCCCGCTCAGCTCTCCCTAAGGTTGACAACCACCCTAGGATATGGGATGGACACTGAGTCCTTAGAATCACAGAACAGAATCATAGAATCGCCAAGGTTGGAAAAGACCCACAGATTCACCCAGTCCACCCAGTCATCCAACGATCACCAACAGCTTGCCCCATGCCTTGCAGGAGCCATGCTTGACATACCAGGACCACAAGAATCACAGAGTCATTACAGTTGGAAAAGACCACTAAGGTAAGTCCAGCTATCAACCCATCACCAACATTTTAAGAGTCCAACAATCAACCTATTGTCCCCATTCTACTCCAGCTGTCAACCCCACACCCACCGTGCCCACTGACCACATCCCTCAGTGCCACATCTCCACAGTTCTTGAACACCTCCAGGGATGGTGACTCCACCACTCCCTGTGCAGCCTATGACACTACATCACCACTCTTTCTGAGAAGAAATTTTCCCTAGCATCCAACCTGAACCTCCCCTGGGGCAACTTACAGCCATCACTTCTCATCCTATCAAGAAGACAGCTTTCCTTCATCAAAACCCCCTTCCTCTAACCAACCTCCTGTGGGAACGAGAGATCACAGGGTGATGTTTGACAGTCCCCTTGTCCCATAAGAACACTTCCATGCCTGCAGGTCTGGGGAGAGCTTGTGGAAAGGGCTCAGAGCAGACAGAAGGGAGTAATGAAGCATAATGCTGAGGGGCACCTGCCCCCTCCACAGGCACAGCTCTCATCTCACTAACACTGTGCCAGTAGAGCAGAAAAGCAGACGTTTTTTTAAAAAAAAAAAACAAACCTGAATAGAAATCTCATCTCCTCAGGTGAGCTAGTTGAGAGAGCAAATTTTTTTGCAATTAAATATCAAGGCATCCGTCAAAGGGGACTTGATTAACCATTTCATTGGCTGCATAATTGGAAACAAACTGTTGTATAATTAATAGACTTACTAGGAGGCAGGCAAAGTCCATCAGGAGCCCTACAGGAAACTTCTTAATAGGGAATCAGCTTCCTTTGATTAAGCACTGCTGCAGTGCCTGCGGGCTGGCAGAGTTGTGAGGAGATACAGCAGCTCTTGGCATGGGCAGGCTGCGCTCCCTGCGAGGTGTTCTGGGACAGGACTGGGGCTGGAAAGGATGACCAGTGCCTGGGGAAGCAGAGGCACCGCTGCAAGGTGCAGAGCAGCTGGGTGCTGCTAAATGCTGTGGGCAAAACAAAATACCTACAGCCATGCTCCCACTGAACCCAAAGCCCCATATGTCTTAGCAGTGGCTGAGCTGGAATAAGGGGAGGTTGGTTTCAGAAGCTGAGTAAGAGTCTATTCCCTCTACTTCTGCCTGTCCCACTGAGCCAGCTGTGTACTGTGCAATGCTGAGGTGTTAGAAAATGCACAACCTACCCCTGCGCTTACCCAGTCCTCTTTTATCCCACCCTTACAGAAACTATTACAATAAAAGAGAGTTGGACTAGATGATCTTTACAGGTAACTTTCAACTCAAATGATTCTATGATTCTATGAAAAGGAAACCAGTGCTGAGTTTATCACCTGCTGTAAGGAGCCAGGACCACTGATTACCAAGATGCAAGTATCCACATGAAAATTAATTATGATCTTCATTCACAGCCAATGACAGCTTATTATTGCACTGAACAACAGGAAAAATTTTTCTCTCCCATTCTGCATCAAAGAGGGTGCAGTCGAGCTGCATATAATTGTGCTTAATGAATGAAAACAAACAAAGGGAACAGCTGCGATTTATTAATTCCATTACAAATAATAAAAGAAGTTCCTGAGAGCTGTGAACACGCTTGCGATGCTTGGAGAGCAAGACACTCAACAGATGTCAGGCTGCAACTATCTGACGACATGAGAACCTGTGCCCACCAAGAGCAGCTCATCAGTGCCACACGGCCCCTTCCTTGCTCTTAGCCAAGTTTTTTAAGGGCTGAGGACTTTTACCCAGTAGGAAGCAAGCACCTGATGGTCACTGAGGGGTGTTGACTGATCTGGATACTCTGAACTGCTCGTCTGCCACCCTCATGGTAACCACAGAGCTGTTGTACAAGCTGCAAAACATCCTAATGGCCAGCCCATCACACAGAAGTACAGACCCCCAGACACTGCAGCTGGGGAATGGCACTCGGATCCCACCAGCGCTGTTACACTGACCATCACGTGGCCCCTTCCCAAGCACCAGGGTTTCCTCTGACTCCTGTAGGCAAGAGAGGCAACCAAGGGGAATGGAAACCTTCCTCAGCCTCCTCCTTCCTCCCTACAAAGCACTCAGCTACTCAAGGGCTTAGGCCACCACGGTCCCATTGCTGTCGCTGGCCCAGAAGGCCAGCCCTGCTGCTACAGCGATGGGCCCAACCTCCCTGTGCAAAAAGTGCCAGTGCTTTGTCATCTAAATAAGCCACTGTTCACACAGTCATCGCTCTGCTTTATTGGGAGAATAAAAGCGATATTATCGTGCCATATGTATAGATCCGTGTTTTACTGTAGTTACATACTTTATTGCTTTAATAAAAAGATGCGGGGTGCGGATTTGAGCAGTGCTTCGTGAAGTTAATTTGTATAAATTACAACAGAGGGGTTTTTGACCATTCTTACTGATACTCCCAAAGAAAGTGCTGAGAAGGCCACCACATCCTCTCATATCCCCATGAAGCAGAGCTGGATGACACCAGTGTAAGTGTGGTGCCAGTACCACTGCGGCACTGGGCTGGGCATGGCACACAGATAAGGCACACTGCAATAGTGTTGCCAATTCTAAAGCTCTGCTATGCTCACATGCCAAGTGTATGTACAGTAAGAGAAAAAGAGGTGTTTTCCACATTGTTCCCAGCAGAAAACACAGGAATGAAGCCCTGCTTATCAGCATAGGGAGGGCCACAGAGCAGGGATAGGACTGTCCGTCAGCTCCTGGCTCCACATATGGCCTCACCTTTGATCTCGGCCCTGTGCACCACCCACCCCCATCTCATAAAATAGGGATAATGCAAAACCGAGGGCTATGACACACAGCCTGCAGCCCAGGTGTGAGGTCCCATCGCTGCATCTTACCTCGTCCTTATACTTGGTGATGTAGGAGTAGATCTCGTGCAGCGCACTCATGCTGTTGAACTGGCTGAGGTGTAACCGTGACTGCTCTGCCAGGTAGGCGCTCATGTCCTGGTCACTAATTGCTGGCATTTTAGCAATATCTGCATAATATCTGCAAAGGAGAGGCAGGAGAAATGGAAGAGCCAGTCAGAAATATTGAGGGAGTGAAGGGGATGAGCCCACCCCGCGATGCTTACCGAGAACCTCAGGAGAAACAGTATGAGGAGCATCTTTCCTCAGAGTGGTGACGCACCACCATCACTCACTGTAATGCTGCTGCTCTTCCAGAGGTCTCCCAGCACTTTGCAGAAGGTGAGCACCATTAGCAACATGCTGCCAGAGGAGCAGCATCGAGACACAGAGCACTGGCTGAACCCACCCCAGCCCATCATGCCAGGGAGCCAGGATCAGGGACTTTCCGATCTCATAAATAACACACTCTTTCTCCTTCCTGTCCCATTTTGCACTGAAACCCACCTGGCAGAACCCATGATGCAACACACAAGAGTTTGTTACCGTTCTAAGTTCAGAATGTTTCTATAGCCAAAGATGGCACTCAAGGTAACTTCACATCACTGGAACTAGATAAGTCCCTTCCAACCTAAGTCATGCCATGATCAAGCTCTTGCAGTTACACTTCTGCTTTTCCCTACACAGCTGCATTCTCTTATGGTTGCTACCAGTAAGACACACCTTTCTTCTCCTTGGACACCTTAAATTTCACTGTCCCACCCCACATTTACACCACTGACATGCTCAGGAGATAATACGAAAGCCAGACACAGCTTGTACCATCCAGAATTGTGGTGCAAAAACAGAGTATTTTGCTTCAACAAAACCAGAAGGCATTTTGTGACCCAGACTTAGCTGCACAGGTGCAAATTCAAGCAACAGACTGAGGTCTTTTAGGAAACCACACTGGATAGGTCCATCAGCCTCCATCCAGAAAGAAACCCAATCCACATCAAATGAGCCCTGCCTGCTCCCAGCACTTGGAAACACAGAGCACAACTCCCTCTCAGGTTTGCTTTACTCCTCACGACTCCTCAGACAGCTCAGTAAAGTTTCTGCTACAGTGATTAGCATCATTAGCATCATCAGCTGAATGCTGAGGTAGGACACAGCTAGAGCATTTGGATAGGAGCAGATGGCAGCAAGACCACTCGAGGAGATGAAGCTGAGGATCCACTCCATCCCACAGCGCTCAGCTCTGCCAGTGATAAAATACTTGGGCAACTCTTACATGTCCAGGTAAAATGAAGCAGTTCTGGGTTTTATCATGACACAAAGGATGGCAGGAAACAGTATTTGTCAGTACAAGCATGCATGGACCAAAACTCTAGCCATGACCCTGGCAGCAGTCTCTTCCCAGAGCTTCCCATCCCCTAAGCCCTTTAACATGCTATTTCTGCCTGAGACTGGCAGGAAACTCTTTGTGTTTTGTTTCTTTTTTAGCATGCCTGAACTCAGGTGGCAGACAGAGCTGCTAGGGGGAACGCGTCCCACTCAGCCACCCCTGCACTACCTCCAATCCTGCCTCTGCAAAGCTTGACAGTGATAACTGTGCCAAAAGCCAGAAATGCCAGATTTGGCAGCAAAACCTGACAGCAGACACACCCCACTCACTGCCTCTGGGGCTGCACCCCGTGCTCCCAAGCAGCACAGCCCAGCACCCTCCTGCTCTGCAGTAAGCGGTGGTAGGAACATCTGTCATTGGTTACATCTCCCAACTTCTCCCTGGGGATGAAGCACATCTAGACCAATGTTTCTCTCTGGAATGGTTTTATACCTTTCCTCTGCAGGCTGAGTATAATACAATGCCGAGTATTTTTGTCACAGACATGGCAAGGTCAGAGAAATTCACCTTACGCTTAAAGGCAGCAAAATTTGTGATGTTCCTAAGGGACCCCTCTCCAAAGTCCCCTCTAGCCCTCTGCAAAGAACTCTCTCCTATTACAACACAGCTCATCTCTCATCTTAGCCAGCACATTTCAGGGACATCTTTTCTTCTGATCCAAGCTGTCTCTTCCTCGAGGGAAGAACCTTGTCTTTGCACCTGCCTGCAAAGCACCAGGCATGGCAACGTTGTGACATAAATACGTAACTGAGTACTAGCAAACAACCAAGGACAACATAAGCTACAAAGTCTCATGCTTGCAAACTAGAAAATACAATGCTTATAATTGCCTGGACGTCTTACGTCTGGCTCATTCAGTACCCAATCCAGACACTAAAAATGGAAAGGGTCCTCAGCAAAGTACAGAGTATGATCTTTAGCACAGCTTATCATCAGAATGGCAAGGTTGCTTCAGAAACCTGAAATGAGGTATTTTTTAAGCTTTTTAAAATCTCATTGTGCAACCCGGCAATATTCTAACAGTAACTCTGTTGGGAGGGCTTTGTAGGACATCTCCCAGGTTTCTCTCCCCAAAAGATACAACTAAACAAAGCTTTATGCCCAACAGCATCAATTTGCAATCAGTAACTTTCAAACTCCGAATACTTAACACAGCATTATTCAGAGGGACAGAAGGTTAACATCAGCTAACATGACAGAAGGGTGTCAGAAGGAGCAAGGGACCTGCTCCTTGCCCAAGCACTGCCTTGGAGCATGAGCTCTCATCACGATCCCAGGCAAGATGTGCAGAGGGATGAGAGACAGGAAACTGCAATTTTCATCCATTTCAGCAAAACCTGCATGTATTGTCATGTTACAAAAAAGGCACTTCTCTAGTCCATGGCTTACTTCTTACTGCTCTTCAAAAGCAATCAAGGGAGATGTTAGCAATTTCTTAGCACTGACCAAGTTTTTACAACAGAAAACATCAGACAAGCCAAAAGTGGAGGTTGCTTTTAGCATCCTTTAAGCAAGACAAAAACAGCTCTGTCAAACAGTCATTGCAAACTCACTCCTGGAGACGATCACAAGAAAGCAGCGCCTCCCAGATGAGGATTACCTCCCACCAGCGTCAGCACAGTGTCTCTTCAGAGTGTCCTCAACAACCAAACCCTCAGTGTGAAACCTCCATGCCTATTTAAGTGCACTGTAAGTCCTCCAAGGGAAGCAAGAAGATGCTGCCGAGTCTACTCACCTTTCTACCCAGCTCTTGTAGTTGGGGATGTCCTTGGCATACAGTAGTTTGTTGGAGGGAGAGTCTTTTCCTAATTTGTGCTCAGAAGTTGAGCAGGAGTCCATGAATGTCTGAGCCACCACGGATAGGCAGGCATCAGTAATACTGTTCTTGTGAATGTCGAACACAAACTGGGGGTTCTTAATCACATTCACCCAAAAACGCAGAGGTAGACTGAAGGAAGAAAGAAACAGGAGTCAGCACGTGAAACGAGCCTTGAGCAAACAGCCACTTGCCTTTGCCTCAGTGCAATACCATGTCTTCTGCCCACCCCAGCATGGCCACAGCTGTCCATGGAGAAATGCCTCAGCACTGTCAATGTCTCCAAAGACAAAGCAGGGCAGCAAAGAGCTGCTGTTTCTTCACGGGTCTACTCACACGGAATAGCCCTCGCTGAACCCATGGGTCACCGGGCACGATTCCCTCCTCCCGTATCAATAATCCTAAGACACTTGGTGGCATTTCACACATCTCTCGTGCTGCAGGAAGGGGATGCTGGATTCCTCCAGAGGCTCATTAGCACAATTAAGATGAGAGAACGATTTAGGCAGTCTCAGATGCCAGAGACGCATTTCTCAGCGGTGGAGGCACTGGGACTGGATGTTTGCTGCATACTTACACACATGCCACTCTCCATCGCTCCATTTCCCACTCTCTTGCCCCTCTCCTCTCCCAGGAGCCTTTCAGGGTCTCCCTCCATTAGAATGCCTCTCCGGTCTGTCACTCCTCAGCACCAACACCCAGTGAATGCTTTTATCTTAGACAAAACACACTTCATTCCCCAGGACTTTCTTAATGAGGGTACCGGGTGCATGTACATATTTCATTTGTGAAGGGAATGGCCTCAAGAAATTAGCTCCACACATTGAATTAGCGCCCAGAGATAAGCACAGGCATTAGTATGCAGAAGCCTGCATGCCCAGCCCCTGCAGAGCGGGCCTTTTTTTCCTCCCTTGCATTTCACTCCTTCTTTTAATATAGAAAGCAGAGTTATAAATCAGTTCCAAGCACTTCCGCACTCTCACATCTCCATTTAAAAATGTTTCTTTTCCTGCCCTGCTAATTGCCAACAGTTACTGAACTATACAAAAGCAATTTGGCTGCCATTTAACAAATGCCAGGCACGGGAACGTACGTACCCGTCTCCAGCAACGGCAAGATCAGAGAGATGAAATCAGTGAGGCAGCAGAAACGCAGAATGTAGAGGGGGAGCTGCAGAAAAGGAGCAGACGTGTGCTGGAGCCCTGGCCCCAGCACAGCGCTCACTGAGGTCTCATAAGCAGCTCCTCCCCACTTTTCAGAGAGCGATTAGCAGAGCTGATGGGTTGGCTCTGCAGGCGAGGTTACGGAGGATGAGGATGCGTACATGGCTTTACACTAACTCTGTTAGGGCACACTCAGCTGAGTGACTGGAGGGAGTGTGGCAAACACCTCCAGGACAGCTAAGATGAGAATGCAGGCTGGCACGTCTGGAGGAGCCCAGAGGACAGAGAAGGCCGTGCTGTGCTCACTCAAGGTGAGATGGGAACAGGATCGTGTTTGTCCTCAGCCAGCTCCAGCCATAAGTGGAAACGTGGTACTGTGGCAGCAGTGAGCACTGCATTCCTGGGATTTTTTCTACTGCAGGAAGGCATGTGAAAGATTTACCCACACCCAAAACACAGAGATACGGGCCTCTCTTGTGCTGGAACATTTTCAGGAACAACTTGAGGCATATTTCTGCTCCCTGTGGGAAGGGTAGGAGGTATCATTAGCTGTGACATCGCTAGCCCCTGCTTCACTGCCCCTCTCCATTACCAGTTACTCTTCCAGGTGTGCCTGACATCATAGTCATTGATCTGGTGCTTATCAGCTTGCTCATCCAGGAAATCAAACATGTATTTGATGGCGAGGGGCAGTGCGCTCCCACGATGTGCTGTGCTGAAGATAGTCTCAAACAGATCATCCACAAATTTCTGCAGAGTGCCCTGAGGAGGAAAAGGAGACAAGAGCCATTCAGCAGCACCCAGCAGCAGCACAAAGATGGGCCTTTAAACTAATTTCACTCCTATTCCTACAACCTAGAATAAAAGCACAGTACCGTCTGTGTAAACATACTGGTTTTTGGTGGTTTAAATCAACATGACAGCAAGCACATTTTTCCTTCATTGCATTGTTTGGCATGTCAAAAGCATAAAAACACCATATAGAGCAAAAACCAGGGGAGGGAATGCATGTTGCATCGTGGTCTTTATTTGGGTTCCATTAAAGTGCCCAAGACTTGACCACAAATATCACTGAACAAACCTTAATTACTACATTGCACGGAGCCACATCACAAGAGAGATGGCTGACCCCAGTCTCTGCTGTTTTGAGCCATTATCTTCAGTAGAGCCCCTGGCCCTCCCTAGAGAGATCTCAGACAAACAGTACTCACCTTGTTTTATGCAGGCTGGGGGAAGGGGATCCCTGCTGTGACGTGTGTGCTGTATGCCACACACCCTAGGTAATTATCCACCCTGATTTTGCAGCTTTACCCCAAAAGCCAAACCAATGGGATGAGATGCCTCCTCCAGTGCACCTCTGCTTTGCAGTCCAGCAGTTGCTCAGTGATATGGGGAACAGTAAAAGTGCCAGAGGGTGCAAAAAACAAATAGGAAAGTTCCTTCAAGGGACACTCACTGAGGGCTGTGGCACTCAAAAACATCACCTCCAGCTCAGATCCAAAGATCAGGAAAATAGTTCCAGTACTGAAGCAGCAGTCTAATCAAAAACAGTAGCACCTCTGGACAACCCAAATCCTTATCCCTCCCCATCCAGATCACAAAAGCCATGTGGCAGCTGTGTGTCCCTGCGCCATACCTTGGTGGCTAGCAAGCGGGTCAGGTAGATCTCAGAGACCATCTTGCTGCCCCGGTCGCCCTCCCGCTGGTCCATGTGGTCGTGGTTTTTTACCAGGTGCCAAAGCTTGGTGCCACTCTCCAGGTCTGGGGTGATCATGGGGGTGCGTGAGCGCAGGCTGTCGGGGCTGCTGGCTGTCCGCAGCATGCTCTCTGCAAGCACCAAACAGAGAGAAACTCATACCTTACTGACCTCCACCTCTCTACAGCTCTCCCTCCCCACTCTCTGCATGTGTCACAAAGCACAGTTGCCAGCATGTTTGATGGAGCCCTAAGCTAGGCTTATTTAAGTGCTTAGTGCCTCTGTGACTACCTTAATTAGATTTCAGGGGAATAAAAAAGGGAGGAGACCCTTTAGTTGCAGCCATCTGACTTGTCTTTCTTCCATTCTCTCCTCTCCAATACGTTGCAAAGAAACGGTTCTGTGTGACACCAGTATAGCTCTCTCTCAGACACCAGTACAGCACAGTACAGGAGAATCAAGCATTTAGAGGACCTTGATCCAGCAGGCCCTGTGCCTCAGTCTGCAAATCCAGCCGCTTTCCCTGCCAACAAAGCAGAGAGCAAGGCGTGGATCCCCCTGTGCACTCACCATATCTGCTGAGGGACTTGGTGAAGGTTGAGGAGTTGGAGATGTTGTACGCTGAGTTCTGCTTGGGCACCAGGGCTACTGAGGAGCCATCCGTCACCTGCAGGCAGATGGCACATATCAAGCTGTGACATCAGGATATGCAGACAAAGAACAATCCCACAGCGTGAAGAAGCCAGCCCCAGAGGGATGAAGCTACACTGCACCCTGCCCCAGGGACAGGGCACTGCATCTACCTCTACAACAGTTCAGGGCCACAGAGCACAATGGAAATGCTTCAAAAGCTTGGAGCTGAAAACAACAAAGCAGTGTCAGAGCACAGAGTGCTCTCTAAGAGTCCTGAAGATGTTCCATTTAGTTCCTTTCTTGAACAGAAGGATCAATAACACAGAGACTGTAGAGAGGTGACCAAAGACCCCTTGTCACATCCCCACATGAGCAACAAGGTCTGGAGAGCCAAACCCAGGCCCTGACCAAGATAAGGAGGGAGAAGAGATATTCAGGCTCTCAGCAGCTAGTGACTGCTCAGCGCTCTCCACCAATGGACAGCATTACCTGGTAGTGGGCCAGGGTGTTTAGCCTCTTCCAGTCATTGTCAATCTTTGTGGTGACATCTTCATCCTGCAGTATGATCCGGGCCATCCTGCCCTGCCGCCACTCTGTCCCAGTGAGGGAGAAGGGCTCATGGTTAGCAGGCAGCTTGGAGGACAAAGCCAAGCAGAGCAGAGGAGCAAGGTCTGGGATAAACGAAAGAGCCCTGCCATCACCTTCAAACCTACAGACTGATGACTGTCAACATGGTGTTGGGCAAAAGCTGTTTCTAAGTATTCAACATAAAGCAGCATCAGTTTGGCCCCGGCAACCATTTACTGCACTCCTCTCCATTTTCCTGCTTCTCCTCTGACAACGTCACTATTAACACCGTTCCCAGCAATTTCTGCCCTTCTTGTCCCCCAGCCTTGTGTTTGCAACCCAAACCAAACCCAAACCAAACCAGAGCATGAAGAGCTCTCCTCTCCATTGGCAGGATTCACATTCTCACCCCAGAGGCTCCCATGCACAGGCACTGCCACCAGCACAGCAATCTTAGTCAAAGTGGACTGTACAAGCAAAAACACTCCTGTCCTGACAGGTCTTCTGTCCTAAAGGAGATTCACATTTGCTTGCCTTGAATGCTTTTTTGGCCTTTCAGCCTTTGGCTGTTTCAAGGGGAGTGCTTGGCCCCTCTCTTACCAAGGTCCATGTCTCCAGCTTTGGGACGCTGGGAATAGGGCACTCCTTTGTAGACAGCATCCAGCAGCTTCTCTTTCACCTGTGTGATGGTGTCACAGTTCAGCACCTTGACAGGAATCTCTGGCGCATTCTCGTTCTCAGGGTTCACACAGTTGAGGGTCTGCAGAGGGGGAGAAAGAATTAAGTGTGAGGATGGCAGATCCAAAGGCATGGGGCTGCAGCTGTCTACAGTTACACCTGCTCAATCCCAAGCCTGAAGGTACAGTCTCATGGCATATTCCTGCTTCCTTTTTTTTTCCCATCTCTCCCCTTCCAATCCAAAACTCCAGCAATTTCCAGATAGGTAATGTAATATCTGTGAAGGAATCCTGGGCCAGCAAACCATGCCCAATTCAAAAAAGACTGCAAAGCTTCAGCACTGTCCAAGCACATTTTACTCTCATCTCCACACAGGTGGAGAGAAGGTGGTGAAGAACCAGCTACAGCTTCAGCCAGAGGAAGGACCACTTAACACACAGCTGGACGAAACAGACAGCCCATATGGGAGAAGCAGTAGTTCTCCATCTTTCATGGTAATCCTCAGGCTCTAACTTTGATTCCCACAGACACTGGAAAGTGTAGTAAGAGAAAAAACACTCTCTGCAAAGCCTATGGGTGTCTCCAAAACCTTGTTAAATAGCTGGCCTAAAGATTGTGGCAAGAACTAGTACGAGCGAGGCTCCCACTTGCACTAACCAGCATTTTGTAGTCAATCTGCTGCCGGATAAGCTTGTCTTCACTGAGGGAGTAGCGAGCCTCTCCTGTGATGGCATCAATGGGTCCCTTCTCCATCTGCTGCTTGATGGCACAGTACAGCATGAAGAGTGGCTCCCCAGCACATTCCTGTGGAACAGGGGACAGAGGGGAGGAAGAGAGAGGAGAGAGAAGGTGTCAGGCACCAACCTTGCCTTTCAGAACTACAGTGACAGAAGCCTATTGTGCCCTTGCAGCATCAAGCCCCACCTGTGACTTTATAAACCACCTCCAACCCTTCCCCAAGACTGCAAGGAGCACATGGAAGCAATTTGTTCCCCTGCAGCAATTCATTCTCCTTTAAAACTTGCTGGACGTCTCCAACTTGATGAAATGGACTGGGAGAGCATTTCCTGCAGCTAAGCCATTTGCCACCTATATGTCTCTACTGTCAAACCCCTACAGTCAGAGCCAGCACTAGCTACTAGCCACATTAGTGTCTATCTGCCAGGTGGGAGGAAGGGAGAGGAACCAGATGCTTCATCCAAAGAAGCTGGATGTTAAAACTGCAGCAATTCAGGACCTGGTAAGGCCAGAGCCATGGCACAGCAATGGACCAATCAGCCTGAAGCTATGAGCTGGAGAAGGGCAGCTGAAAGTGGACACCCCTTTACCACACAAGGCTCAAACTGCTTCACTGCACTGCATCCCAGCATATCCTTCCAGATACAGACATTACTCCTGAATGGGAAAATAGGGCAGGATGGCAGCAGGGAAGACTGGGAGAAATCTCAACAGATTTTACCCCACCAGCCCTCACCCCTCCCTCCCAGCCGCCTCACAAATAAATTGTACTTTGGTGCAAAGTGCGGCTGCTCTCCCTGTCACCATATGCTGTTAGCATCTCGTTAGCATCTGCGGTAATTAAAGAGACAGCTGCTAACGAGCAGGAACAGGCATACATCATCCCCAGACCTTCCGACAACACGCCTGTCTTTGAAATTATGTTTCATTTGCTAACTTGGCTTCATTAAGTCAGCTCGGAGAAGTGAGACCCAAGGTGGGTGCTATGCCACATCCTAACAGCCACCTTGCTGGGCTGCCCCAAAGCCATGAGCCCCCAGCACTCACAACAAGCTCACCAGCCAAGGAAGGAAAACAAGAAATTGCTTCTTTTCATTGCTTATAAAGACTACCTGGGAGTCTTCCAGTCTGAGGAATGCAGCGTGGATGGAAAATAAATGGCTGAGTCCAGGGATCACCTCCTCCGCTGCTCACACACCAGCCTGGCTGATGAGTAATAAACCTCTTTGGGGATCCATAGGTTAGATCTTGGTCGTATGGATTCCCCAGAGGGATGAAGGGGATCCCGGTGATGGGCAAGTTACTTCTCCAGCACCATGCAGGCTTTCTGAGCCAGGAGGGGACCCATGGGATGGGGACATGCCAGCCCGCATGGTGACGGGCGACCACTACCTCCCAGCTGTGTCTGGAGGATAGAACAAGGAGGAGCTGGGGGATAACCTCTGCAGGCCAAGCAAGCTCCTGTGAATGGTACATCCAGAGTGTTGGGTGCAGGCTGAGGCAAGCCAGCTAACGCTCAAACTACCGTATCAACTAGATGTAGCTCATCAAGCACCTAATATCGAGCATTTTTCACTGTTTGTCTCGAATTATGGCTCTCCGTTTTACTGGGGTGTCTCATTAGGCATCTGATAAATGCTACCCAGCAAGTGTTCCAAGCACTGTCTCTACCCTCAGCCCTGGGCAGCAGGAGGCTGTCCTGCTGATCCTACCCGCATCCCCTGTCCCAGCCAGTGCCATGCCAAATGCCCAGCCTGCTCCAGGCAGATTTGCTGAGCGCAGCTCTGGCAGCTGGGCACACATCCGCCTGCCTCATTTACATGCACAATTACTGCGGTTTGGTGCAAGGCATATGTTTTCCTGCTGGCAAACTGTCTGCTGTGATACCTCTCCATCTACTCCACGGGTTCTCCCTGCTTTTGATGCCACCTGTGATCTTTACCGCCGGAAGACAGGCAGAAAAGGGCCCATGGGTCAGTAGAGGTAGCATAGTAGGGGCACCCTTAAGCCTATTCCAATCCATTCTGACCGACCCAAGCACTGAAAATTCCACCACTTCCCCAAGGAGATGATTTGGGTAAACCGGTGGGTTTACCTGAGCCCTGTGTGCATATTCCTCCTGTAATAGTGCACCTAGAGCAGACTTCTTTCTCCTGCTGCAACCACAAAGAGACCAGAGGTGATTTCTTCTGCCAGTGCAATGGCCTAGCCAAAGCCTTCAGAAAAAGGCACAGTCCTGACCCCATCTCTGCGTCCAGCGGTGGCAAAAGAACCCATCCAAAGCAGCTTCTGAAGGAGGTGACCACATCCCTGCGACACATCCACAGGACTCCAGCCAGCCAAGGACAGGACAAGGGCATCAGATCATGCTCGTGAAACTAGCAGCATCCCCAAATCCAACACCTTGGGTGTTGGAAGGATGCATGCTCTGCTTTGGAGTGCAGAATAACTACATTCACTTCAAGCTCATCCATAGCGATCCCCTTGACCATCAAAAATGGGGGGGATCTGACCCTCTCCTTTGCCTCCCCTCTTTAGGAGGAGGCTGCAAGGTCCTCCTTCCTAACATGCCATTGCAAGAGGCAGGGGAAGCACCACGGAGCAAAGCAGCAGCGTGAGGTTAGGGAAGTCTGCAATATCCCTGTGAATGGCACTGCTTTTCTCCTCTCCCACCCCTGGAAAGCACTCTCTGCCACACGCTACAGCTAGATTTTTATAGATACAGGCTATCCCTCGACAGAGGCAAAAAGCCAAGTGCACGTAAGTGATATTATAAATCACCTCTCGTTGACGATCACTTGAGTTCTGCACAGACTCCTGCTCACTCTCATCTCTTGGCTGGAAATGGTTCAAACTCCCTTTTTCTTAATGAGGGATGAAATCCCACAAAAACGATTGCATGCCACCCAGCCTCACTGAGCCAGGCAGGATCCCAAGAAACAACCTCGGTGATTGACAAACCAACAGCAGGATCACTAGCCTCAGTCCAAAGCACCACCAGGACACAGTACTTGCCAATGTGGGCAAGGTGCTCAGCAGCATCTGTCCCTGTATACACGTGAGATGGCCATGGGGAAGTTGGTGACCTAGGGGCAACTTTTAGAGGGGAAGCAACAGCAGAAGTGCAGATGCCTGGGAGAAACAAGCCCCCGTGAGAAGCCTCGGTTTCAAAAGACAGATGAAGGAAAATGAGAGCAAATTGGCAGAAATATCCTCTGAGCACAAGCGTGTCTAAGTGGGACCAGCTCCTGGGGCTTCATCCTCCTGAGTTGTGACAGGAGGGAGGAGCAGGGATCACTGGAAAGGGATTCAAGACTCATCTGGGCTCCTACAGATTTATCCTTTCTCCGGGGCACTGTTTTTATGAAGATCTCAAAACCAGAATGCATTAAGCAATCTCTGCCTGCATTTCATTTCTCAATCTCAGCTATTTCCCCAAAAGGAAAGCCAGAATCAGTAATCACATCTCAAAAATGTGGGAAGGAAACCAAGGCCTGGGAAGCGATCAGTACTCCAGGAGGGAACTGCAGACTAATGAAACACATCAGCCCAGGCCCCAGGTGACACACAGCCCAGCCCAGTGAGATAGGAACCCACCTCTGTCCCGACAGAGGGTCAGCAATCCCTCCCAAACTCACCTTCAGAAACTTGTACAGCAGAAACGTGAACCAATTTGTCAGCATCTTCTCTGCGACTGACTCTGTTCTGTAGGGAAGGCAGAGAGCAAAGCGATCAGGAGAGGACACTGAAAGTCTCTGATCCTACCCACTGCCACCTGGACTGTGGCTAACTTATTTTCGGCTTTAAAAGGTCACATCTGGAAAGGCACAAGACAGCAGGGCAGACAGCAAAAGCCCTAGTGACATGCCTGCCCACCTGCAAGAGGGAGAAGCAAACAGGTCTCCAGCATACTTGGAGAAGTGGAGAGAGACGCAGACGACCTCACCCCGTGAGGAGTCTCACCCAGGGGATGACCAGCATTCTACTTCTCCCTGTTACCTTCTACTTAAATGAAATATGTTTCTTTTGTCATGTCCTGTTGGAACCTCGCAGCTCCCTCTGCAGAGAGTGGACTGTATGAGACCCCTAAGCTAGGTCAAGTACCACCAAAACCACCCTGAAGCTCTCCAGTTAGTGCGTGACCCAAAGGAAAGCACTGAACCGGATGGTCTTTAAGGTCTCTTTCAACCCATCCCTTTGGCCCATCACCACCACACAGCTCACAGTAAATGTGCCTGTCACTGCACCACAGGCTGGTCTAGCTGCCACAAGTTTAAAATTCACATTAACACGTCCATTACTTTTAAAGTCACTTTCACTCCCTTTCGGGTAAAAATGCCAGCCAGACTCCTGAAACCCTTTGGTTATACTTCTCAGCTTATCCATCCATTAATCATCAGATCAGCCACTTGTAAACGCAGATGCTCCCGAAAGCACAAGCAATACTAATAACCTCCCAGACAGATCTGCGTTCCTGTTATACCAAGGAAACGGATACAGGTTGGTTCAGGAAACATAAACCAGAAGGAACCTGAATCTCCAGAGTGCTCAGAAGTGATCCTGCTGCCCAAAGGCAGTGCCACGCAGGGCAGATGGGACAGAAGCCATTCTCTATGGCCAGATGGCTAGGGTAGGAAATCCACTTTCCTGGAGTTTATTCACACTGACTTGGGGTTGTACTGTCCCCTCCAAGCCTTTCTCTGCTGTTAATGGGGTTTATCCCTTTTTGCCCTCAGTGGCACAGAAGAGCCCTCCTTAAGGCATTAGGGGATGGTAATACCTCAGACTGCAGGAGGAAAGCATTCCTGAGCCCATCAGCAAAGATTAATCCATTAAGAGGAGAAAAAAGAGACAAGGAAAGGGATCTGGGGAGAAAGCTAAGGAAAGGATGGGCTGATGTTACCGTAGATATCCTCCTCAGCCCCAGCCCAGCTTCTCCACCGACTGCCCCAAACATCCATCTCCAGTGCCACAGCCTGAACTCCAAGCAGATGCTTGTCTTTATCTACAACAGGGCCAGATGCCACAGCAATGGGAGATTATCCAATAACAAAATAAATAAATAACAGCTCTCCCCAGTAAGATCAATGGTAATCCGGTTGCTCTGGGCGGTAAGTACATTCTCTCACCCAACAGCACAGCTAATCAAAAGGATGGAGGAAGGAAGCACAGTCTCGAATGCCATGGCTGCAGGAAGAGCAAAGTCTGGTTAAATTTTACCTGGGAACATGCAGGGGACTAATAGGGAACCTCATCCCTGTCCTAAGCCTCCCACAGCTCCACCTGCCGTGGTGAAGCCTGTTGCTGTGGAGGGACAGCAAGAGGGGAAGAGCCTAGGGATGTGCTCAGATCAGGGACACATGGGTTGCCTCCTCCATGGTCCTATCCTTGCCAGCTGCACATCTGCTCTGCACCCTCTGGCACATTATTCCTTTTGAGGTGCTGTGAGAAACCGTGGGCTCCTTTGGGATGCAGGTGACAAATGAGGCAGAGACCAGCCAAGGGAACACAGCCAGGGACCAGCTTGCAGCTGTACGTGCTCCAGGCATCTCCCCATGGCCAGGCACACAAAGCCCAATGCGCTCTGTCCAGTCTGGCCATGCCAAAAACATCAGATGATGTCTGAAAGATGCTCTGGCATCCTCATGCCTTTCTGGTGACATGCCAACACTGCAGTCATCCCCACTGGAGGGATGCTGCTTCATCCCTGCTGTGGGCTGGTACAAGCACAGCATGTGAAGGGATGGCACGGAGGGCCTCGGGCTGGGCTGGTGGAGCTTATTAATTGTTTTTGTTCAGCACTTGGTGCATCTTTCAATATTCATCAGCCTGTGATGAAGGAGAGCTCAGAGCTATCATTAAATATTGATGGCCCAGGCAGACTCACGGCGGGGCTTGGCATGCTGCCTTCTGCTCACGCTCTACCCCAGCCCTAGGTGAGACTCCTGGCTTGAAGAGATCTGCTTGGAAAACCCTGCCAAGCCTGGCAAGGTGGACAAAGCCCCCGAAGAGGAGGTGAGGAAAAAAGGGCTCTTGTTGGCTGCTAGCACACTGGGGCACCACCGAACAACTCCAGCCCTTCAAATGGCCACTCACCTCCGCAGGAGCAGCTTGGGATGGTTCTTACTCTCCAGATTCTTCTCAATGAGGTCGGAGAGAAGCTGCTTCAGAACACCCGTGGCATATTCCATCTCACCCTGCAGTGCTGTCATGATGAGTGAGGCCACATTGCCACGGTCTCGCATGGAAAAGCTCCGCTGAGCCTCCAGCGTGCGGATGAAGGTCAGCAGGAAGTGCTTCTTGTTCAGGAGCTGCCCAAAGAGGGTCAGGGACTTCTCCACATTTGCCTGGACCTGCAGGGATAGAGCAAAGCTGGAAGATGGGAGCAAGAAGGAGGGCAATGAGAAATCAGGGGGGCTGCGCATCAAGTCAGCACAGTCTTGGGGCATCATTGCATACATCATCTTCAAACATGTATGCACAGACATACATGCAGATCCCTCACCTACATTCTCTTTGTTCCCAAGTATCAGAATTTCAATATCAAGAAGCTCAAATCCCACCCAAAGCATGGTGTGAGTATCACACTGAAGGAGTGCCTGCCCCTTTCCAATATCCAGAAAGCAAATAAAGCCTCGATACCAAGCTCTGCAGTCAATAAAGCTGCTAGGTTTTGGAGAATAGATTTCAGACAGGAGTAAATAGTGGAAACCAGGGTCTATCCCTCTCCAGACACAATCTGAAATATTCTCTTTTGCTTTTGAAGCTGTATCTCAGACATGTCCAGCTGGGAGTGGGCTGGGTTCCTTTCATCTCCCCATCGCCTTCGTTAGCACTGCTCTGCTCAGCACTGACCATGTTTCTTACCAGAAATAAGCATTTTTACACACAACATCCTCCTATTATAAAAGATGGTTTCCTCTGAATAAAAGCCTCTCTCTGGTACAACATCAATTTTAATGATTTTTTTTTTCCCCTTGTCTTCCTGATTGGGAGAATAAGTGAGAAATTTCATTTTGTGTCGATATTTGGAGACAAAACAAGACTCTTCATTTCGAAACATCAACTCAAAATGAAGGAGAGCGTTTTGACACATCAAATCATTTCACTTCAATCAAAACTTTGGAGCGTCGCTTTTGGGTTCAGTGAAGCTCCTCGTGCTTGTGCCTTCCCCCTCCAAAACTGCTGATGCTTCCCACAGGAAAAGAATAATCCCATTTCCTTGTCATGTGTGTCACATGGGCACTGCGTGTCTCCTCGCCATGCAGGAGAGAGGGAACACCTGCCCCAGGACATCCCAGCATGGAGTTGGGGAAGCGACAAACCTCTGTCCCTGTTCTCAGGAATCGTCCCTCATAGAATCATTAAGGTTGGAGAAGACCTCCAAGATCACCTAAGTCCAACCATCAACCTATCACCATCATGTCAACTTACAGCATCCTTAAGGCAAAAGAAGACCACTAATATCACTGAGTTCAACCATCAATCCAACCCTACCATGCCCACGGACTACATCCCTTAATGCCACATCTCCATGGCTCTGGAACACCTTCAGGGATGGCATTCAACTGGCATTCAGCCAGCTGGGGGATGGGTCCTGCCCAACAGCACACACCACGTAGGGTTTGGGAAGGGCACCAGAGGATGGCAGTGTCCACTGCGCACAGCCCTACACACACCGCCCTGCTGCCTGCCTGCACCGCTGTGTTTAACTCGCTGATCATTAGCAGAAATAAACGAACAATACCGAATTAAATATTTAATCAGGCTTAAACTCACACAAAGCAACAAACCTCCCTCCAACAAACGTAAAGAGAAAGGGAGCTGGTAATGACAGTGTAATGCTTGGCTGTGGATTAGCGGGTGCGCAAGCGAGCGCCGCTTCCCTCCCATCATCCGCAGTAACTAATGTTACACTCTGAGCAAAGAGACAAATAAAAGCAAACCTGATTCAATTATATGAAGCTTGCACAACTGTAGTTGCTTTATTTAATCTCTTTTGGGTTTTTTTGGTGATTTTTTTTTTTTCCCCGCTTCCTTGCAATATTAACCCTTTCTGCCCCAGGCGAGGCTGAGTCTGCATGCTTTTTCTGGTGGGATGTTTTCAATTAGGAGCTGGGAGTGGATGAACTCCTGCCCAGTCCCCCTGGATAATTTACAATTACTCCTCTGCAATTTCCTCTCCAGAGCTCCAGTTTGACATTGTCTCCACCCCTCTCCCCTTTGGAGAGGACTGCAGCATCTGCAGATGCTGCCACTAAAGCTTTCTGCTCTCATCCACTTCAAGGTGCCCCATCCACACACCTGTTCCAGCAGCTATGCATCACTGCCTCCAGGAAAAATCTTAAGGAATACACTTAGGAGCAGGAGCAGAGAAGAGCTGAGCCAGGCTTCTGCAGGGACAGGAAGGGCTGTGCCCAGGGGAGGGCTGCTCCCCGGCCCCATAGCCAGCAACAGCTCTGAGCATCTGGGAAACCTGAGCTGCATGGGGAAATCCACGGAAACAGGGACCCCCCTGCCTCCGGAGCTGGGATTATGGAGCAGGCACACGGCCAGCTCCCCCCGTTGAGGCTATGCTGCCTGACAACACCAGCACGTGTGCTTGCAATTGGTAAGGGCTCAGGTTGTAACTAGCAACCATGCATCCTGCACCAGAGCTGAGTGCTTCTCCCATACCAACACTAATTACCACACCAGATCAGAAGCAAGGGGAAGCCGAGGTTCATCCACCTCATTTCTCCAACCAAGAGCAGCCCCAGCAGCCCTGCATTGCATGCCCCAGATGAGGCAGGTGTGGAGAAGCTGAGAAAGAAAAGGGTGCTGCTCTGGGGAGCAGGATGCCCAGGTTGAGCTCTGTACTGGGAAACAGAGCCACAGACACAGGACATGTTAGACAAGTCTGCTAGCAAAGAGCAGCCTTGCAGGCATCAAACAAACCCAAATGAATAAAGCAAGTGCTGTAGAAAATGACAGCAGCAATGATACTAATATAAATATTGATATTAATGTCAGAGAGAGCAGCAACCACTCAGCCCAAGCTCACATCCCTGAAGTTTCCACCATCCCTCCTGTAGTGCAACCACCAACCTTGCAAGCACAGAAGCAGCAGCAATCCTTTATTATTCCTACCCCACACAGCCCCAAAACACTTCACCCTCTCCACTATTTGCTGTTTATCCATTCTATTGCAGAAGGGTTGGAATCACTCCTGACTTCTGGCATAGCTCAGCTATGAAAACAGCATAGTTCTGCCCACCCTCACCAGCCTGCATCCCTCCCCGTTCACCTGAGGATCATAGAATGGCCTGGGCTTAAAAGGACCACAACGATCATCTAGTTTCAACCCTGCTAACCACTAGACCAGGCTGCCCAGAGCCACATCCAGACTGGCCTTGAATGCCTCCGGAGTACCTCAGTAGCCCCATGGTCAGGGCAGCCTGTTCTAGAACCACCAAACTCCCTGCTCACAGCTCAGAACCTGCAAGGAGGCAGATGAGCATGGCCACGTCACATTCCTTCCCCTTTCCAGCCCAGAGGTGCATCCCCAGCATGAAACCCTGCAGAGACAGACAGACACCCAGTACCACACCTCCATCTCCTTCAGCACCGGGTGATCTTCTATCCCGGGGAACAGAACCCGCATGGCGTAAGTGCGGTAATCCAGGAAAGGGATGCCGGCCCCATCCAGGTCGTTAGTCAGTTCATTAATGTCCGTCTGCAGCTCAGCAAAGGCTGGATGGAAAAAGCAGAATTCAGAAACACGGCCCCCAGCATGCTGCACTGCCACTCAAAACATTCCATGGCATCTGATGGGTGGGTCTCAGGGCAATGCTCAGAGTTGGATCCACATCCTGCACACTGGGTTGCATATTATCGCTGCCCCCATCTTACACATGGAGAAACAGAAACAGAGCTGCAGGCAGAGAGGATGATCCCCTTGGAATAAATCAAGTGGTAGAGCTGGGAACGGAACCAGCGGGTCCCAGAGGCAGCAATTCCCCTCACTCAGCACTCACAGGCTCAATGGGATCCCGGGGGCAGCTGGGAAAGGCAAGGTTTGCACAAAGCCAGAGCTTCTGGGGGAAACGTTCGCAGAAACCACAAGAATGTCCTCATTTTGTTTTGACCTAAATACTACTGAAGAGCTGAACACACCCACCCCAGCACCTCTCGATTCCCAAGGGAAAGCAATGCAGGGAGGTCCTGAACCTTTAATTGCACCTAGAGGGAAAAGCTGACGGGAGAGGAGTCCTAGAGAAGGGAAAGGGTTTGGGGGAGTGAGGGGGAGAAAACCCTCAGAAAAATCAAATTAACGGCACTTTAAAGGGAGCTGAAAGCATAGCAGAGGGCTGCAGGCTCGTCAGCCTGATGAGAAAAAACAAACCGTCAGCTTGAAAGGCGTGCTATCTTATCTGTAACTAGTGGGACTAGAAAAGAGAAAAGGCAGGGAAGAGATTGTGCCTTTTAATTAAAAGCAGATCCTTTTATCTGCCAGCTGTGGAAGACAAGACACCAGCTCCCTCCCCTCTCCCTGTCACCACTGCCATCCACACGCCTGTTTAGGGATGGGGATTTGGGGAAGCAAAGGGTTTTTCTTGCGTTCCCCTTTTTATTATCTCGTTGTAGGTGCCTGCTCCATCCGCAGGTTTGAGGCTGGTTGTGGTGATGCTTGGCAGGGTCGGGGCCTTGGGAGCCAGCTCAGGGGGATAATGGGCAATTAGGTTTTATCAGCAGGATCATACAAGGAATTCTGTCCAATTTCACAGCATCCGTCTATCACATAATGAGAGACCAATTGCCTGCTCACAGGCAGCCCTCGCTACCCTCTTTGCTCCCTTTGCTCACATTCGGAGAAACAGAGGGGAATTCTTCAACTGGAAAAATCCCCAAATCCCACCCAAAATAGTTTTCCTTTCTCTGACAAAGCAGCTTTGTTCAGTTCTATTCCCTCTCTGATAGGCAATGAGGAAAGGGTGGGAGCACCCAGAGCATGAGGGTGGCACAGAGACATAACTTTCCCACAGGGAAAGCAGGAGTCCAGGTGAGAGTCTATGGGGTACCAAAGGGAGAAAGAAGAGGATGGAGGTGGGAGAGGTGAGAGGCAGAGGGCTGAATCCTGACCCCACGCACTGAGATTAGTAAAGGACAGAAGTGTCTCATGGTGCCTGATATGAAACCCAGACCCAACACAAAGCTGGGGGCCAGGACTGCTCACCCTCTTTGCACTCCAGGGCCACCCGGGACTCCAGGTTGTCCATCTGCAGCTGGAGGCGTTTCAGGGTGCGGTCAGCATCGCGGGACTTGCGCTTGTAGGCGATGAGGACAATGATGATGATGAGCAGCAGCAAGCCGCCGCCGCCGCCAATCCCAATAATGGCAGGCAGGGTGAGCAGGCTGTCCGAGTAGATCTGCAGCGTGCCCGGGGAGAACTCAAACCCTCCAGCCTTAATCTGCATCGCAGGGAAAGAAAAAGCAAAGGGTCAGGACACTAAGGGGGCATCGTGACTTCCCACCACACTGGGAACAAAGAGATGGGGGAAACACAGAGCATCCCCCAGTGCCCCAGGAGCTCGTCCGCAGCAGCACAGCGCATGGTAATGGGATGCAGGACACGCTGCCAACATGCACATGGAACGGGCAGGGAGTTTGATGTCTCATTCAGACAGCATTACAATAACAGATGGGATGTGAAGCGAGCTCCCTGATAGATGGGGAGCCCAGGGGGAGTGTATCAGGTCCCTTTCAAGCAAGCAAGGCCGTGCAGACCAGAAGCATGAGCACTGCTGTGCAACAAGCTGATGCACATGGACTGTGGCTTACAGTGCGAGTGGGTACCATGGATGAGGTGGAAACCCCCCTGTGCTCAGCTCCAGCTGTGCCCTGGCACCCAGCAACTCTTAGCAGGGTGAAGGAACAGCCGTCTCAATGTGCCAGGATAAGGACAAAACATTTGGTCCTCCAGCAAGCACACAATTAGGGAGAGCAATGCGTGGGCAAAGGGAAAAGGCTCCCAAGGACTGTTCCTGCAAGTGTGCTATCCATCCTTGTCTGAGGATGAGCACACATAGTAGGGTCAGTGCTGGCATGAAGATTATATCTCTGTGACAGCCAGCCAGGGACCATGAGACACAAAGGCTCCAAGTGCCCCTAACACCAGCTACTTTCCTTCCTGCATCTCTGATACAAAGCCCCACATTAGCCCCATGTTTCCTCCTCCCAACCTCCTGCACAGGGGGCTCGATGCTTACCGTGACTTTGTGCTGGCCAGTGAGGTTAGGAGACTCACAGAGCAGTTGGGTCTCAGACACGGTCAGAGTGCAGGGAGTGTCCCCAATCAGCACTGTGTAGTTCAGGCGGGAGTTCCCTGCAGCTGGAGGGAGCAGGTTCCTGCCCTTTGAGGGATCAAAGAACGAAGCAGTCAGCTCCAGGACAACAGGGAATGCTCCGAAGCCTCATCACGGAGCAAATTTGCTTCAGGAGAACCATGCCCTGGGTGCACACAGCCTTACCTTGAGGATGAGGGGAGAGCTGGGCTTCAACTCCAGCATCCCCGTGGGGCTGAGCGGCTCAAAGACGGGGTCTGGGTAGTATACAAAGTTGGTGGTGTTGATGATCAGCAAGGCCTGGACGTTATCCATGATGAACCCGATCTCGTCCGGCCGGTCACCGACCTCAGGAGGGCTCCGCTCAGGGTTGTCAATGGAGGGTGCATAGCACACCATGGTGGTGTCATTGTACACAGTGCAGTTCTGTGGGGGGCACAGGTTAGGGTCAGACCCGGCTCCCAGCAGTGAGGGCAGAGTCTGACCCTATAGGATCTCCTGCAAGCTCTGGACACAGGACTTAGAGTCTGTGTCATAATATCAACGGATGCTATGTAACACCCTGGTAGCTGCATTTTACAGATGTGTGATGGTGGTCGTTGGGACAGCTTGCTGTGGATGGGGTCTCTTTCTGCCCTGCAGACATCCGACAGACCTCCCATCATTTTTGCATGCTCAGATCTCACCCTAGCAGTGCTGGGCAGGGATATCACTGCCCCAGTGCCCCTCTTCTGGGTACAGGCCCTGGACACCACCACCCCCATGGTATCACGTTTGGATCCCAGGGAGGGATGCGCTTTCTGCTCTAAGTTGCAGAGAGATTACATCCCTCTTCCCTGTGCTCTAGCCCTGATCTCAGCCCTCCCCATCAGACAGCATCACTTACATTCTCCCTTTCAGAGCTGCAGTACTTGGCTCGGATCTTGGGCTCTTTGATGGTGGCCAGGTTGGTGCCAGTCACAGTCAACAGTGTCCCACCACTAGAGACAGATAGATAACAGGTAGGGAGAAAAAGCTGTGACCTCAGGTCCCCACTTCTGGGCAAACAGCAGGCCCCATCCTCACCAGACAGAGGCCCATCTGCCCCAGCCAGGGTGCCCCGGGACCCATTCTCCAGCCACGTCACCATGGGCAGCAGAACCAGCAGCAAATCATCTCAGATGCCTAACAACCCTAAAATCCCATCCTGTGTATTCATGGAGTGCAGGGCTTGGAGTCTGAATGCAATTCCAAATAAAGGAACAAGTGATGGGAAAGCCAACGGGAGGTCCTCTCTGCCACCCCCTCCCTCCATGGCAGAGGGAGGTGACAAGCAGCAGGTGCCAAGCCAGGCTGGTCCCTGTGGGGTTTTCTCTGCCACTTAGTGTTAAAAGCCCCAGAGAGGTCAGCTATGCCCCTGGGGAGTTCACTCCTCATTGGCACCCTGGGGAAGGTTTCCCTTAGCACAAGCACTTAATGGATTCCTTCGCCTCCTCTCCAGCCAATTCAAACCTTTTAGAAAAAATATGCAAACATTTCCAAAATCCCCCAATGGGAAATATTTTAATTTTATTCGCTGCTGCCAAATGTCAAGCTGAAATTAAGCAGATCCAAAGCTCTCTCCGCTCCTGCCCCCTGCCAGGCTGAGCACTGCAGGCCAGGAGTTAGCAGGGACCCAGTGCCAAGCCATTCCTCATGCTCCTCTCTGGAGCATGGCATACAATTGCAGCAGCGCTGAGGAACGCAGATTGGGATGGGGGATCTGTGCCCAGCAGAGCCCTGCTGCATCCCTGTGAGCAGTCCTTCACCTACCTGTTGATGCTCCATTCAGGATCAATCTTTTGGATAGTAGGGTCCTCTGTGTAGTTGTACTTCACCTCCGGGTTGCTCAGCTCTGCCCGGTTGATGTTGATGAGGATGGGGGAACCACCAGGAGCATGGCCAGGGGGGGTCCTGCAGCGGATCTCACGGGCACTTCTCCTGGGGCAGAAACAGGACAGTCAGAGAGGAGGGTGGTAACAGCACCCCTACCCCTTGTGAAACTGCTGAGTGGGAAAGGGAGAGAAAAAGACTCAAGAAATGAAACAAAAGGCAGCCAGGAAAGGCTGAGCTGCTCCTGAGCGTTCCCATTGCGTGGCTGCTGCAAACAGCAGCGATTAGAGCTGATAACCAGTAATTACCGCAGGAAAATATTTAAAGAGCCGCTCCATTATCATCCCTAATCTAAAAATTATCCACTTCATGCCTCAGGGCTCTATGCTTTTAGAGAAAAATCCCCGCGCTTTGGGCTCTTCCCAGAGCCTCTGACACAAAGAGGTTTCGGGGGGACATTCCTCCAGGCGCCTGCAGGATTTGGCTCAATGGGGTCTGCTCTACTTGGGGGTTCCACTGCCTCCAGAGGTGCCCCCTCCTCCATTCCCCCACCCACGTGCCCCATGCCCCTCACCCCGAAAAGGCACAGGGCCGTCCCCCGATGGTGACGGTGACGTTGCTACCAGCATTCAGGTGGCTTCCTTCAATGGCAATCCAGGTGCCACCGGAGAGAGGGCCGCGGGCAGGGGTCACTCGGGAGAAAGTGGGCGTCTGCCAAAGGAGAAAAGCCTCAGCATGTGTTAAGTCAGGATGGGACCCGGGTCCCAAGCATCCATGAGTGGATGATGACAGAGGGGAGGGTGGGAGAGAGACATGGTATGGCACAGGGGGCTGCCTATAGCACCAAGACACCCACAGCCACCTTCCTCCCATGGTCCCCAGCCACATGTGACACCAGCCCTGTTCCCAGTGCATGGGGTGACACCAGGGCTTACCACGAAGGTGAAGCTCTTGGGCGAGGTGGCCCGGTAGTTGGGGGAGCAGTCCCGGATGCACACTTCAACCCGCGCATCGTGGACCTTGCTTGGGCTGGCATCTCCAATTTCACACACGATCCTAAAAGACACAGGGAAGAAGACCATTGCCAGCCTGGGCTTTGCTCCCACACGTCCTTCTGCAGGCAGAGGCAGTGTTTGAGCCCTGACCCCCGTTGCCCCCATGCACCAAGATGATCCCCCCTCTCCCACACTCACTGCTCAGCGCTGATGTACTCGCTCTCGATGGGGATGCACATCACTTTGCCCACTCGAACACCCCAGCGCACGTCTTCAAACTTGAGGCCCAGGTTCTCCCCTGTGATGGTCAGACGTGTCCCTCCTTGCCTAGGGCCGGTCTCAGGTGACAGCTAAGGAACAGCACAGCACATCAGCCAAGGGACTGGAGCCATCAGGCTGCAGGGGATGCCTCGCTCCACTGGCTGCAGCCTGCATAGCACCAGGATGGGCACTGCTCCCTGCCGAGGAGCAAATCAGCTGTGACAAATGCCAGAGCATGTGCACAGAGCACGAAGCAAGACAGACTTTCCGAACGCCTGCAGTGTCCACATGGCCCCTGAGGAATGAGTCTGGAGGTGCCAGATGTGTGCGAGCAACGGGCTGCTTCATGGACACCCTGCTGCAGATGGAGACGGGTGATACATAGGAGATGGGGACACAGAAAGGAGGGAGACAAGGCAGACCCAGCCAACCACAGAAATACATTGAGTTTGCCTTTGGGAAGGTCTCACATACTGAGGGATGAGGTCCCCACACCCAAACTGTTCTCACGTGAGGAACTATTCCCACCAAGTTCTCACCGCCAACACAGCAGGCAAGGGGAACGTGGGGAATATGGGTCCTGCTCATCTTTCTGCCATCCAAACCCTTGCCTCTGCTGGAGAGCATCCGCCTCGTGCCGTGCCTCATTTACCAGCATGATTCCCAATAAAGTGGACAGGTGTGGCCTGACAGAAGGTGTTGGGATGACAAATGAACAAAGAGGTATGGGCTCACCACGTGCCTCCAACGAGGCGATTAGGGGCAATCTGACAGCAGTGCACACCTGCAGCACTAAGTAGAACAAATGGCAGGGCTGCATGCCTGCACTGGGACAGGGGATGTGTTCCCAGGGCAGTGGTGGGGCTCCACCAGCACCCCAAAGCTCACAGCAAGCCCAAGGCAGCCACAGGTCCTGCTTTACACAGTGAAAAAACCCTTCCGGGCTCTGGGCACTGCTATTTGCCTGAAGTCAGCACAATTCCAGGATCAGGGCTCACTACAGAGCTGCAACAAGTGATTGTGACTGCTCTTCTTCATGCATCAAGCTCTGCTGGGGAGCTGGCAATAAGCGGCTGTTTGTTTGGTATTTTCAGATGAGCACTAAAAGCATGTTAGATTCCTCCTCCTCCCTGCAAACCTGACAAGGGCCATGTGCTCAGGGAGAAATGAGCCCAGGAAAGAGGTGACTCCGTTCACGGCGCAGCACAGAAAGGTCACAGCTAAACAAGCCGCATGGGAGCAGGAGCTGGTAAGGACGGCAGAGCAATGCCCACAACCTCACACCCCAAAGTCCCAGCCCCAGCAAACACTACTCTTCCGCTAATTGGTTTCACAGGGTCCTTTTAACCCAACAGGTAAATGGCTTCAGGGGGCATAAGCAACTGCAGCATGGGGAGGGGACAATCAGGGGAACAGACCCAACTTGAGAGTCATGGCCAGCACCCGGCAGGACCCAGGCAAGTTTGCAGAGCTGCCTGTCCCCCACCACTGAGCAATGGTGAAGAATTGGGGTAACCTCCCAGCCCAGCTTCACCACCCACGAATACACCTAATCTCCAGCTGCTGGGCTGGGAAAAGGCTCCACATCCTTCTCAAACCTCTGCAAGGGGCTCCTCTTTTCCTCCCAACCCATGCCTTACGCTCACAAGCCTGGATGCAGGAAGGGGGGGCTGTGGAAAGCAGCAGCAGCTGCTTGGAGGAGCACCACGTCCACAATCTGCAGCGACCGCCTGCTCACGCTGGCCCCAGGGCACAGAGCAGCACCAAGGTCAAGCCCACCTGCTAACAGATCTGCTTATTCTGCATCTGCAATTACTGCCAAACTGCATAATGATGGAGAGCCTGCTGCGAGCCAGACACCTTGCACTGTAGTGTGCACACGGATGCTAGCAAATCGTGGCCCAGTTGCCTTCATGGGTGCTCAGTGCCATCCCGAGGCAGGAGCTGTCACAGGGACCCCAATACCACCTTTGCCATCAGCAGCAACAAGGAGCCCTCAGTCTGATTGCTCTAAGTCAGCACCAGGCTGGCCCAGACTCAATGCAGGCTCTGGGGCTCAAACCTGCCCCTGCAGGGAAGGCATGCACACCGGACATGGGCACAGGGGCAGTGGGAAAGGCAGGGCTACGGTTTCCAGCTTTCATCAGATATCACATAGAAACCCAAACAGATCAAATACAACGCTAAGACTCCAGTAATTAACACCAGCAATGCCTGCTTGCCCTGCGAGCCGTGGGTAAACAGAACAGATCGCATGGAATTACGCATCAATCCCTCCTAAAGCACCTCTAGCCCGGCCGACAGACATGTTAACATTAATGTGGGCAATCTTGTGAAAGGAAGGTCATAAAAGCTGTCAGAGATGGGAATGATGAACTACCGGCCCATGCTATCAGGGGAAGAGCAGCACAGATCTGCAGCTTTTCTGGGATGCTCAGATGAACAGCAGGAATCTCAGACGTGAGACAGAAAGCCAAAAGCACCAGGGCTGCAGAGGGAAGATTTTAGCCTTGGAGAGCAAAACAGTGACAAGAAACGCTCAGTTCAAAGCACGGACTAGATTTGGTGCCCCCCTCCCATCCCAGACCTGCACACCCCCTACCTTGGTGATCTTGGGGTCGGTGCAGCGGCTGTTACCACTGCTGGCATGCATCCAGCTGCTCTCATAGGCCAGGCAGTGCTGCCGCAGAGTGCAGCGCTTCTCCGACACGCACCAGCCACATTCGAAGCGTGGGTCGGCCTTCAGGCACAGCCCACAGCTCTCCCGCAGGGCTGAGCACTTGTACAGGTGGGCTGCAACAGTAGAGAGCGGGGTCAATGCTACCCACAGCCCTGAGATGTCACTGGGCTCCTTGCTCAGAGGAGATGGGGAGGCTGGGGGTCCACAAGACTGCTTTCCCACCCCAGCCCAAACCCTCACTTACCCTGGATGTTCTGGGGGTTATCGATGACAAAGTTTCCGTTCCAAACCACTGATAAGTTGACCGGCAGATCGCTGATGTCGTTCCCCTCGTAGAAGTACTGCAGGAGGGGATAGGAGGAGGCCATTAGAGATACACATGGAGAGGTGTAGGGCACTGCTATGGGGCTGCTCCCTATCAGCCAAAAAGAGAGGGATGGAGACTGCAAGAAACTGGTCTGGCCACAAAGGGACAGGCAAAAAAGCAGACACGGCACAGGCAAACCAGTAGGCAAGACTGGCATAAAAATAAACAGCATAAAGGGTTTCCAAAAAGACCAAAAGCCCATTAACCCAAAGGTCTGAAACTGCTGCTGAAGAGACTGAAATAGATAACATCTGAAACAAACACACCCCTCTCTCCACACCAGGAACAGGGGGGTTGAACCCTTCCCCACCCTTCCGAGCCCTGCCAGCCTAGCAGAGGGATGAAGCTGGATCCCTGCTGCTGCACAGAGCTCAGCTCCCAGCTCGCTGCCTCCTCCCACCCAACCTCGCTCTCCCTTGCTTCGAAACCTGAGTTGCAGCCCCGGCAGCCCCATCAATATTCCCCACACAGCCCCGGCACGCAGGCAGAGAGCTTTAATCGATACGGAGACAGGAAGGCAGTCGGAACCGTCCCTGACAGCTAATGACCTCCTTCGGCAAGAGATTCCCCGCTCCTCTCCGGAGAAAATGACAGGCGTGTCAGGAGAGATTAAATGAATGATTCATGGCTTGCTGGAGTTTGTTAGGAGCTGTGGATGCTTGGGCAGCAGCTTGCCTAAGCTGCAGGCTGGACACGGCCACACCACCTCCAGCACAGCCTCACCCACCTCCGTTCTCTGTATTTCTGGCTTTCCCCGTGTTGGCAAGCAGCCTCCTGGGCCTCAGGAGCATCCCTAGGACTGGAGCCATGACCAGCCATGGGGACACAGTGCCCACGGATGTGGCTACAGTAACACACCCAACCCCTCAGCCCCTCTGACCCCACAAGGTACAACCAAGAAGCCACCTCCTGTTTCAGGTTACACATCCTTGCAGGTGTTCAGGGAACATGGAGATGTGGTACTTAGGGACACAGTGAGCAATATTGGTAGACAGATGGCTGGACTAGATGATCTTAGAGATCTTTTCCAAACTTAATAATTCTATGATCCACTGCTTTTGGCTAATGGTCCTTCACTCAGGGGCCAGGCTGGAAGAGCCCAAAAATGCACTCCTGCGTAGCACAGCTGCCACTGATCAGATGCACACAGTGGTTTTAAGGCATGAAACACCCAACTGCAATCTCATCCTTTTCCTAAGTCCATAACCACCTCTCTGCAGGGCAGCCCCATCAGCTCCCAGATAAGCTACAGAATCACAGAATATCTCAGCAACACTCCATCTCCAAGCTTAGGAAAATGGAGCCAGAACAGGGCCGTGAGCCCACATCCCTCCACCTTCCTTCATCCTTCACCCACACTCTCAACCAGCCATACGTCCCAGGCAGGACTGAGGCCAGGAGCCAGACCCACAGCAGCAATGGGACCATCCCCTGCAACACGACACAGCACGTGCCAGGGAGTGCCACAGCAGCACTGGAGCAGAGTTTTGCTGTGACGAGCCACGTGGCAGTGTAAGTGAAATTGGCATTTTCAATTTGTACTCTGACATGTCTCATTTGGGGCCCTGGCATCTCGGGAAGGCATCCAGCCTGCAGCTGTCCAAAACACTTATTTGCATCTCTCTGCCCCGGCTGCTTTTGGAAATTAGTTCTTCTGGGAGGTGGTAGGAGGGTGGAGGAAGAAGAATAGGAGGAGAGGGAGGGAGAGAGTTAACTCTTTGTGCACCAGCCCTGAGACAGAGACAGGTTTGCAAAGAAGGAACACGCACAAGAGATGCCATCCATCTCAGTAAAGACACCACCATGCTGAGCACACCGCATTTGGAGCGGCACACCTGGAATCTGCCCCAGCTCCCCAGCACTCACTCCCTGCAGACCCACATAGGGGTTTTTTCAAAAGGACCCATGAAGCTTGAGAAAATCACACAGGGCACAAAGCTGCCTCCCTCGACCTGGGCTAGGGAGTAAAAGAGTGGTGAGCAGCCGGGGCTAGGGTCACATGATGATGGCACAACCAAAACTGCCCTCCTGCTCTCACTCCCTTGTGCCTCTTCACAGCCATAAGCATGTTATCCCTCTTATGCACTGGAATGTTTGCATTCACACTTGGCAAGAGGTCATTCCAGAGCTCCAGCACCCTCCTGGCATCCCCGGTACCCTTTGCTGTACAAAATAAGTTCTGTGCCCTGTCCCATTGGCTCTTCCTTGCCTCCAGCTAACACATTTCCAAATATCCATTAAGCACTTAACAGTTATTAACTTCCTGGGTAAGCAATGGCTGCGGCTATCAGCCATCAGCTGTGTGCAGGAGGACATGGCTGGTGGCACCTGGCAGCCTCACAGCCACACTGTGTTCTGCTCCACAGACATGCTGCCAGCCCCAAGTTGAGTTACTTTGCTTTGCAAGCAATAAACAGGCACTGCCCAGAGAGCAAACAGTGGATGCTGAAAGGGAGAAGCATGATCACGTGCTACAGTGCCTGAAGAAGGGACAGGAGAATACATGTCATGGAGCGAGTCAGTGATGAGATAGAGCTCCTTGGTTCCTCAGCTTGCCCAGATCAGTGCTCTGGTGCCTCTCTGCAGGAGCCCAAAAGACGAGCCTGGATGCAGCTCTTCCCAGCAAGGTCTCCTGCTGCAGGGAAGTGACTCAGGCCAGAGGACTCCTCACCAAGCCTTTCTGCGGAGTATCCCAGGCAACCTCCCAAGAAACAGCCAACAACCCTATGCAGCTCTGCCTCCCAGGCCCACTCCAGGCAGGGGCTGCCCACTTCTCTACCCCTGCAGCTCCCACATTTGCTCCTGGGTAGCCCCCTGCCTACCCCTGAGCCAGCAGGGATCCCCAAGAAAGGCACTGCAGGGGTCACTCCCCTGCCCACCCTGAGCAAACCCACATATCCCAACCTCCCTCTGCCCAACAGGACCCTCCCCTCCCTTTCTCCAGCACCATCCCCCTGGGCTGTGTTTCTGGAGGAGCCGCTCAGCTGCAGCTGTGTCCTATTTTTCTGTAGTTGATGACCTCAACTTCTTCCCCTCACTACGGGGACGGCAGTAATGTACATCGTGTCTTGCCAGGGCTCAACTGCAATTCATCATTATTTTATCTGCTGGAATTTAATTGGATCCTATCAAACTCTCCTGATACTCCCTTTTCACTTTAAACACTGCTGCAGGAAAGATAAATGCAGGCAGCGCTAGGACAGAGCGCACGGCTTTGTTGGCGAACGGTTCTGGGGTTGTGGGCTCCGGTCCCGTTTCCCTCTCCACGGCTGCTTAATTAGAGATACACACACTGGAGGTGCACAGTGCTCGAGCAGAGCATGTGTGCATGATTTATGTTCCTCTATAAATACACCCTAGGCTTGGTAAAACACTGTCAGCCACACAACAGCACAACTTGACGGCAACGCTTGCCCTCTGATTCTGGATCTCCTTTTGTTCTTTTCACATCCATCTTCCATTTCCCTCCCTCCCCCCACTGCACACCTGGATTCGCCCTGCCTAGAATTCAGCAAGAAGAATCAGAGACGTTGGGAATAAAGCAACATCTCACAACACCTAGAAAGCATCAATCTGCCAGGTCTCGCCTGCCTTGCTCACATCCACCCCATGGCATCCACAGGGCTGTGCAGTGCCGGGTACCATGAACACATTCCTCCCATTGGTGATGGGGGGCAAGATGCCTCGTAGGGCTATGGCACTTCATCACAGGGACAGGAGAAATCTGTGCAGCCCACGCAGTGCTGAGGCAAAGGTCCCGACCCCCATCTGCACACAGGGGTGACAGCAAGGTGACAGAGGGGGCCGCAGCTGACACGTGGGCGACACATGCTGGGGGGATTGCGAGGAAGGAGCCGAAAGGGAGACCCGGAGTTGACACAGCTGCTCACAGCCACGTGGGGCTTTTGTTAAAGGCTAAGGGAAATAATTGAGGCGTGAGGCTTAATTTAAAGTGCTGAGACAACAAACTCATTTGCTTGTGGAAAGGAGATGAGGGTTCTTCCTATTTTTATATTTAAAGGGAACAAGCAGCTCTTGGGCTATTTTCTCGGGAAAGAATGGGCAGAGGTAGAGGCTGGAATGTGAAATTCAGCAGCACAAAGCGAGGGACACAGGTGACCATCCACTCATCCTTCACTGCAAGGAAGTAAACTCAGAGTCTGTCTCCAGAATCATAGAATCATTACAGTTGGAAAAGACCTCTAAGACCATTCAGTCCAACCATCTGCCTACGACATCAGTCGCCCACTAAGCCACGTCCATATACCACCCAATTAACAAAAAACTACTGCACTGGGAAAGAATTTATTGTCTTAAGTCACATTTTTCTTTTTTTCTCTTTACAATGCCTGCAGAAAACCCTCAGAGTTGTCCTCCTTTTGAAGAGGAGAAGGGACTGCAGTGAGGAGGCACTCAAGGGGTTTCTCTGCTCACTTTTTGACCTGGGATGTATGGGGAACACCAAGCCTGCTCTCCCTAGAGCCTGCTGCAGATCTATTGGGTGTCTCCCATGATGTTTATAGTCAGCACTCAAACCTTAATGAATGGGCTGTTGAATATTTAACAAAGATGTCCTTTCTTCCAAGTGCCAAAAAGTCATTGGAGTTTGACAAGCACTAAAACTAAACAAAAGACAAAGACTTTTAAGTGGACTTGACTTATTATCCTTCCCATTCATCTGCAATTCAGGAAAACATCCCTAATTCAGCAAAGTAATTAACCTCTTGTTTAGATCCCATTGAACTCGAGGAAACAAAGTCCTCTGAAAGCCTTCCTGAATGGAGGGCATCAATTCCTCCCCTCCGCGCTGGGAGGATTTTCACGCTCCTCCAGTTCTCCAATCTCCAGTGCCCCCTGCACCAGGAAAGACCCAAATCCAACCCAAGGAATGGATCCAAGGGACATGAGCCCGCAGAGCCCCCCAGTCTGGTGGCAACAGAGCCCCGGGTCAGCGCTGGGTGACTGCATGCAAAGTGATGTGCCATCAGCGAGCCAGATGGACTGCAAAAAAGACAGGGAGGAAGACGAGCTTCAGAGAAGTGTGAATTGGAATCACGCACACCATAAAGCAGCCTGGCTAAATGCCCTCACACGTTAAAAGCAGGCAAGCAGACCCTGAAAGGAAGAAAGACAGCTTCTTTCAAGCCAGAACTTTTTCCCTCCTTCTGTGAAACTGCCCTGTGCCTGCAAACAAAGCCTCCTGCCTCACACTCCAGTGCTGCAGAGCCCCATCTCAAGCCCATGCAGCCTGCAATACTGCTGGCTTGTTTTCCAGCCATTTCTTTCTAATTTGGGGCAATTTTGGGTTCAAATATCCAGCCCAGGGAGAAGGCCACCAGCACTCGCAGTCACCAGCACTGAGCTGTACCCAGTCTCTGATGACAGCTGAAATGGTGTCTGGGAAAAGCTCTGCGTGGCAAAGGATCATCATCAACCCAGACCCACTAGTATCATTTTCACCTGCAGCTCAGGACAGTGAGCGTTTCTGCTCCTATCAAACTGTGAGGCACAACAGGAGCTCTGGTAGCACAGCAGCCCCAGTATTACTGCACAGGATAAGCAGCAGTGGGCTCAGGATGCTCCTCGTGCCCTAACACTGCATCCCATGGAGGCTCCTCCAACGGCTTCTAAATGTCACTGAGCCACCGAAGGATGAGGGAGCAGGGACTGGTGCTGGTGTTAGGTTGCAAATGAGCTTTCACAGCAAGAGCAATGGAAAACAAATTTTGAAAGGATTAAATCAGAGGGATAAGGGAGGGGTTGGCTCCATGCAGATGAAGTAAGGTTCGTGCAGAGCCCAGTGGGGCAGTTATGCAGCTGAACAGTGCCATCTCCCCAAAGGGAACAGCTATTTAATACTCTGGGTCTGTCTGCTCAGGGGCTTGATGCTCCACACGTGGGATGGCCACACAGCAGGGGCATGCTCTCACGGCTGCAAAACCTCATCTCGCTTAGGGACAGAACAAGTGGGAGGAATAAACATAGAGCGGGACATGAAGAAGGTGTTGGCTGGATTCTGAGGTCAGGGAGGCTGAGGGGAGGGGAGCGTGGCTCTGACACAACCAGGCCAGCTGGCCCTGGCCCAGGCAACTTTCCTCAGCTTTCAAAAGTGAGTTTCCTTGGAAGTGCTCCCAAATCCTGGTGAGTCTCCTGGGGCAGCAGAAGTATTGATCCCATCCGGAACAACCCCACACAGCATCTTCCCTTTGCACCTGGATGCAGGGCAGCAGAGAGCACAGGCTGGGAACTCCCCCACATCATAAAGTCTCCATCACCTGCCCCAGGGAAAGCACACCTGGCCATGCAGCACACAAGAACAAACAGCCTGCAAATGAAGCATGCACTGGGCAGAAAAATGTTGCATGATCTCACACCACGGAGCACTCACCGAGGTGTTCTGACACTGGATGCTGGTGCTGTTGAAGCGCAGAGCTGTGACACGGGTGGTGCTGCCAGGGATGTGAAAGATGCACTCATAGTTGCGCTGGCCGGACTGTGGCTGCGGCAGATTCTTGGCTGTCAGGGTGATGGGCTTCACCACACCCACTGGGATGTAGATCTGGGTGGAGGGCAGGATCTGTGGGCAGTCCTGCAAGGAGAACAAGGGCAGCAATGAAGCAGGGCAGAGCGCTGCAAGGAAACCAGGCCTGGCCACCCTGAGCACACCACATCATCACCTCATGGATTCAAAGCCCTGAAAACCAGAAGTGAACCTCAGGGCAGGGGACACTGGAACAAGCTGCCCAGAGAGGTTGTGGAGTCTCCTTCTTTGGAGATATTCAAGACCCGCCTGGACACCTACTTGTGCAACCTGGTGTAGGGAACCTGCTTTGGCAGAGGGGTTGGACTTGATGATCTCTGGAGGTCCCTTCCAACCTCTGTGATTCTGTCATTCTGTGAACCAAGTGTTTTCCACGTTACAGGTTAATCCTGGCTGTGGGAGGTGGGGAGGGGATCAGCTATAGCACCTGGGACTGAGACAGCAACATATCAGCTTTCTGTTTGGGCACATCAACTCCAACAAGATGGGCTCTTCTGCTATCAATGAGGTCAGTAGGCTTCAGAGTTAATGCTCTCTGGGCTGTGCCCTGTCAGGTTGCACTCTCCAACTTCACATGGCCTCCAATCCCCTTTGTCCATGAACAGACAGAAAAGACTTTTACCCCTTTTGTCCCTCTGAAACATGACTCTGTGGTGCCGAACTGAATTCTGCTATTTCTGTGGCCAACTCAAAGCAGCTTAATCAGGGCAGCCTGATGGCTGGTGCCTAAAACCAGCGGCTCCAGAGGGGCACCAGTGAGTCCAAGCTGTGAGGAAGGCTCCCCCTGACAGCCCCCCACTCCCTGGGGATCACCATGCAGCTTTTAATAGCCGCTGGCGCCCAGATGCTCCGGGGGAGCCGTGTGCACAGAGCACAGGGGAGCAGGAGGGAGCAAAAATAAATGAGCTCAGGCAACAAAACAGCTCGGCATCCCCAGCGGATGCCACTTGGGCAATAGCAGCCTGATGCAATCCCACGCTGGCTTTGCAGAGCCTGCCGTGGGTCTCGACTCCTGGAAGCACTGGCCCAAAATAACAGTGAGGGGGAATTCCGTGTGTTGAAAGGACTCGTTTAAAACCAGAAACTGCTGCTGCAGGGCAGCTCCAGCCCCAGCTGCTGGCACCGTACTGGGCCAGACCCCATACAGCTCCAGGCTTTATCCCACAGGCTGCGATCAGCCTGACTTCAAAATGCTGTGGAGAGATTTTAAAAATCATTTCATTTAGCAAATATTAACAGAAAACTCCAACTTATCTCGTTTTTCCAATTTCCCACTCCTTTCAAGCCTGTACTCCCCAAAAGCACAGTTTTTAAGGGAAGAACCTATCTGTTCCCAGAACATGCAGAAACAGAGGAAAGCAGGGCCAGGCTGGGGATCCTCAGCACAGTGACAGTTGCTCTCAGTGCTGCCACTTTCTCATTTTACCATCATCACTGATGACTCTCGGTCCAGCCTGGGCAGCAAACAGTTTATCCACCCAACTGGGCTCACCATGGATGCTTACAAGACCCTAGGCTCCCTGCAAACCCAAGGCAGCAGGCACAGACAGCCCTCTCCCCATGTACGCATAAACATGGGGCCGATTTGCTGACTCGTGGTTTGAGTCGGAGCCGAGTCCCCCCACGACATCACATGCTCTGCATCTGCTGCCAAAACTGTCTCATCCAGCAAAAATTTCAGCTGGCTCCCAAACAGGAAGCACCTGGTGCTGGTGGGTGCTGGGGCAGTGCTGCCTGGCTCCCGGGGTGGCAGGAGGGGTGGGGGCATTTGGACAACTCACTTCCCCTACAAGTCATCCAAACAGCTGACGGAATTCTGCCTATCACTTAAGGCCCTTGGAAAAGCTTTGTCCAGTCCCCATGGCTTGCTTTCCTGCAGAAAACAGACTCTCATCTCAAAGGATGTACAAACTTATGGGATGAAGAGCAAAGCAAGATGTCCTCTCCCACCCTTCCCAAACACTACACAACTCAGTTTCTCCCATTAAAGCTGTTTTACTAGCAGGATGAGAACATCACAAAGATGCCTACGTTTGCTTAGAGAGCTGAGAGGCAGAGTCATGCTACAAACACTGCAGTTTGGGCTTCTCTGGCAACTCCCAGCTCCAGCTGCACAGCTGTATCACCAGATACAGGGATGAAGGCAGGATGGGGCTGGCTTCAACCTGCCCAAGTCCCTAGTGACAACAGCTGGGGCAGCTACAGGGCAGGACATGCTCTACGTATCTTGGGTGCCACCTTCCTTAGTCACCTAAGAGCTGAATGAGTTATTCACCAACACTGCTTCTGCTCCAGCTGCCACAGTACCCAGAGGGCCAGACTTCTTCCCAACCATGTCAAAGCATCATTTCCTTGGAGGCTTTCAGGGTCCCTCAAGAAGTCCTCTAGGTCTCAGGCATTTCCACCAGTCAAGGGAATGAGGAACAAGCACAAGTAGGACGTGCTCAGACTCAACACACTTGGTCCCCACATGCTGCAAGGCTTTCACCCTACACGGTAGCTGTGCATTGGCAGACACCAGGGAATGTCTCAGAGAACAGTGTTTTGGGAAGGGAGAATTCCTTTTCCATTTCTGCTCACACCCCCAGCCACCACTGCAAGTGGGGACAAGTGGAGAGCAGCCAGTGCTGCATTATTCTCCCTCCCTTCCCACTGCTTCACCCCCGGAGAAAGCCACAGAGAATGAGGATCTCCGGGAATGCAAAGTAATCAAAGGCTCCAGAGCTGAGGACTCAAAGCCACAGAAGCCAGGGACATCCCTCCTGCTGCTACCATTTCCAGGCACATGGACATGCAGAGTGGCTCCTACCTGCACCCAGCTCCTCCCTGCCACATCCCACAACAGAGCCCAGGCACCCCACGCTTTCAGTGTAACATCCCAAGGCAATGCACTGGGTTGCTGTTTGCCTTTTCCTGCACAACACCCAGAAAGAAATGAATGACACCACTGTAGTTCAGGCGCCAGTGGGAAGCAGCAGATGCTCAGTTAAGCCCTGGTGTGGGCAGACTCCTGCGCCTCTTCTGACCAGTACCTACCACACTCCTGCCAAATGAACTGCAGACAGACCAGATCTTACCTAAAATAACCGAGAGTCACACATCCTCCCACAGAGAGCATCGGGCTGAACAGCTGCCCTTAATTTGTCCAGCATTGCCACGGTCTGGCACCAGGTCGCCCCTACCCAGGGAAAAGGGCAGATTTCTGATCCCAGCACCAACACACAGCCCACAGCTGTGGCCAATCTGAGGGTGCTCTGCCAGGAACTGCTGAGGCCACACCAAAGTGCAAACAAGCAGAGCCAGGCTTTCCAAACCTCAAGGCAGGCTCTGCTCCAGACCCCGGGGTGACCAAGAGGTCTGCGGGGGCACAGCCTGCCTACGTCCGGAAGTGGCACAACTGCTGTCCCCTGGGAAAGGTGCATGCGTCCCAAAGACAACACGAGGGGGATATTACTGGTTTGCCTGGAAGGGGATGGGGGAAGAGTCCCAGAAGCTGCCCACCACCACACACACCAGAGCTGCTGGGAACAGCCAGCGCTGAGCATCCTGTTTGCAGAAGCACAGAGCTGGCTGGGAAGGCGACCTCAAGGACAGGCTGAACCCTCGCCAGATTTCTTCAGGGCACAAGCTGGGAGATAACAGCTTTTTCTAATCTTCTCATATTACATAATTCCCCTTTGTGTGGGTCGCTGAGCTGGGCTGGTTATGGCCTATGCGTGATGCATTTTGTGTGGCACACGCTTGAGCATCAACAAGCAAGATGCAGCCTCCTTGTGCTCGAACCATAGTAGGAGAGAAGGTGCCAAAACATGGAATTTGGTCATTTGTGATGGAAGGGCCAGCAGAAAGCCATCGCTGTTCTCTCATCTAGGGAATTCCAAGGGGACAAGCATGCAAAGTACTGTTGGTGGGGCCACAGCACATCCCATGCAACGACACCCTGGTTGGGTGACGAGCAGCATCTCATTTCCTGTTGCTGTGCTGAAATAGCAAGCGCCAACCCCACCTACCCACATGCGAGAGCGATGCTTGGGCTTTTCCAGCTCTCCAGATGCACTTGGCTGTGAGCAGGCTTTGCTCAGCTCCATGCTCACAGTCATGATGCTGATGAGATCCTGCACAGCCCCATACAGATGTGCCTCCAAACTCTGGTTGGCCATCCACACCCTTCAGTCCTGAACACCACAGAGGTGCACAACTTGGAGACCCCAAGTAGAGATCCAAGTACATCTGCTTGCAGACTACAAACCCTAAATGTCCCCTGAAGATCCAGCAGCTCCTCATGGAGAAGCAGTAAAACCAGGAGTCCTGGCTTTCCACAGTGAACAGGGAAGAATCATACTACAAAAGAATGGCTTAGATTGGAAGGGAGCTTTAAGATCATCTCATTCCAACCCCTCTGCTGTGAGCTGGCTGCCCGGGGCCCCATCTAACCTGGCCTTGAACATCTTCAGGAGTGGAGCACCCACAGCTGTGGGCAGTGCCTCACCTCCCTGAGTACGGAATTTCTTCCTAACCTCTGACGTAACACTCCTCTCATTTAGTTTATAGCCATTTCTCCTTGTAATATCACTATCAGACCATGGAACAAGGTGGTTCCCCTCCTGCCTATAAGATTCCTTCAACTGCTGGAAGGAAGACACGTAAAGGTGCTGCTTCATCCATCCTGTCAGTACAAGAGCCATCATGCTGCTGGTGGAGGAGCTCTGGCTAAGTAATGGCCCAACCCCCACTGGAGGGCTCAAGTGATGGAAGAGGGAGGCAGGAAGAAGGGAAAAAATTGATTGTTCCCTGCTGGGAGTTTGACCTGCACCAGTGAGGAGCTTGGAGCAGCCAGGGAAGCAGGAGGGAGACAGACAAAGCAAGAGGGAAGTGAGTAATAAGGCTAAGGGCACCACAGCTACAGACAGCTCCATCTAACTCTATGCATGCCCCAAGCCCAGTACTGAGGCACAGGGACAGAGAGAGGATGACAACCTGAACCAAAGGGGACCCAACAGCTTGAGTATGGAGGGAGACCTCACAAGGTACAAATTACAAGAGACAGATGGCCACAGCTATCTTCCAGGCACAGGATTCTCCCTTCACAACTCAAACTGCGATGTGGGCAGGGTGCAGAAGCATGGCTCTCCTGCAGATGCCCTGTGAGTGATGGATTTCCCTAGCTGGTGGCATGGATCCCACAGGATAAGGCCCCACAAAACATGCTTCTTAGTAAAGTATTACAGATGAAGAACGTGTGAGGTGCAGCAAAATGGTTTGTTTTATGGCTTTAAGCCTTCCTCTCTCTGAAAACAAGTTGTTCTGCAGTGACAGTTCAAGCTTGCTCCCTTCAAAAACATCAAAGGAAATACTTAAGCGTCTCTGCCTTTGTTTCTGTCTTGGTTCAGCCTACAGTGCTTCCTGACTTAGCCCGGATTCCCAAGCAGCCCCTGCACCGGCACTGCTCAGCTCACGCAGCCCTTCCCCCACACTCCCTCCTTGCTTCCCTGACAAGGCCAGCACTCCAGACACAGCTTGCACACGGTTTCAAAGGCTTTTCATCTGGTAAACCCTTCCCTGCAGGCCAGGGAGAGCATAGCAGAGCTGGCTCACACTGCCTTACCTCAGAGAGCTTGACCCGTCCCTCCAGGAAGGAGCAGTCGGCGGCGTTGTGGGTGCAGATGTGGCGGTACTTGCACCAGTGGCAGGGGAAGGAGCCGTTCACACAGGACAGGCAGCTGCAGAGAGAGCAGAGAAAGCAGCATTAGGTAAATACAACAAAGGGCATCTGCATCTGCCTGGGGGCTAAGCAGCAGCACTAAGCTTCTCTCCCCCTCCCCATCTTATAGAATCATAGAACGGCTTTGGTTGGAAGTGACTTCAAAGACTGTGTAGTTCCACCCCCCTGCCATGGGCAGGGCTGCTGACCATTAGATCAGACACCAGCTCAGGTTACCTCCAACCTGGTCTCAAAACATCCCCAGGGATGGGGCACCCACAACCATTCTGGGCAGCTGTGTCAGTGCCTGAATACACACTCTGCACACCATGTAGGGCCACGGCTCCTTGCCCGGGGGTTTCACACCCCATTGCATGAACAGCGATACCTTCCTAAATCCACACGCACACACTAAGGAAATATTTAATTAAGCTGCTTGCAAAGGGGGCTGGAAGTCATTTCCATGTTTCGCTCACATTTTCACTTCCAAATGAACAGCCCTTTTAGCTTTACCCACAAATATGCTAATTGAGATGCTCCTTATGCAAATATATGCGATTTTTATTTCAGCTGCAGAGATTCGACTTAAAAGCACAGCCGTGGCCTCCCAGCTCTGGCTGCTTTGATGGATGGGGGTGCACAGGGTGGGAGCACAAATAAAGCACAGGGATTGCTCCTGCGCTCACCCCCCATGGCTGGTGGGCAGGGAAATGCAGGAGTGGAGGCAGTGAGGGAGGGAACGCAGGGGTTAACCCTGGTGGAAGCACAGCAGGCACTGAGAGGCCATTCAGAAGAGGAGGAGGTACAGGCAGCAGGGGGGTTTCTAGCCATAGGGTCTGTTCTGTGTGAGGCACCCCACAGATCCTGGGTAAAATGCCTGGCCCAGCCCTGTTCTGCCAGAGTAAGGGCACATCACGTGCCACCCAGGGCTCTCCTTTGCCATTTGACCTTAGTGCACACCACCTGCTGCCCTGCCCCCCTCACTTGTTAATGGACATGGATGCTCCTACAGCCATGGCATCCTGTGAAGACACACCACGCAGAACCTCCTCTTCCAAGCTCACTCCTGATAGCCAGCTCTGCCTTTAAAGCCCACATCCTTGCAGACAATTCTCACACCCTACCTCATCTTTCCATTCACCATAAGGACATCAAGAGCCACTGTCAGCAAGTTCACCTCATACACCTCACCACACAGCATCTTTGCTGCATGTACAGCCTGCACAGAGCACAACCCATCAGCCAAAGCTTCTGCAAAGCACTTGGTACCAGGAGCATGGCTAAACCCCAACTCCAGCCCACCCTGGTCCAGTGGGAGATGTCCACGCCCACTGCTTGGGGCTGGAACTGGATGATGTTCAAGGTCCCTTCCACCCCAAACCATTCATTCTTTGATCCTGTTCTACTCTGTCACTCTGGGCACCTCGCTATGACTCCCAACTCTCTGCTAACCCTAACCCAGCAGTCCTACAAGCAGCTGAGCAGCAACTGAAGCCCAAGACCTCTTCTAAACAAGGTGAGCAACTTGCTGGTATGAGGCTGGGTGTGCTGCTGTGGGACAGGCACGGCTCCATGCCCATGGCTGCCCAAGGTCGCGCTGCACGGAGGGGCCCGGGTTGCATCCCCAGCACGTCCATTTGTCACTGCTGTCTGTTTCCCACACAGGAGCAGGTTGCTTGGCAGCACGATGCCATCTGTGCTGTCTCTCTCCTTCCCACGGTCAGGCACTTTTCCCTCATCACTTTTTGCCTAAGAGGCTTTCATCACTCCTGATAATTAGAGGGAGTTTCTCCTGCATGTGAAGCCCCCCTTCCTCGAAGCAAGACAGAGCGCTGATGCTGAGGATGCAGCACAGACACCGAGCCTCAGCTCACTCCCCAGTGCTCCTCTGAGCCCACGCAGGGGCCAGGCAGAACTGAAGGCAGAGAGGAGGGCAGGAAAGCGGGTCATGGCCTCGGCTGTGCTGACGCTCTCGTGCAGCCTCTCCAGGAATTCCAGATCACTCTGCAGATTCCCCATCCCAGGACAAGCCTGGGCTTGCTGCCTGCTTGCAAAAATCCTTCCCCACAAAGAGCAGCAGAGGGACAGCACATCTTTGGACATCACGTTTCTGCCCTTCCCTTTGTGCCAGCCAAAGGACACAGGCACAAACGTGACCCAACAAATGTGATCCGAAGCAGAGGACAGTGCCATCCTACACCCAGATCAGTGACTGCCTCGCAGTTCAGAAGTGGTAAAGCACAAAAATACATTTCCTTAACTGCTCGCAGCCATCTGGCCGTGCCTTTGAGAAGCATCTGTAAGCATCTGGAAATGCAACTCAGGGTTGCAGAGCAGAAGCTGTGTAGCAGGCAGCTCCCAGCCGGCCCACAGGAGGAGCTGGGGCTGCTCAGCACAATCAGACCATTGCTGGAGCTCTTATGCACCCTCACAATGTTCAGCAACTCAGGGGTCACAGCTGCAGCAGTGCATGGCCACAAGGTCAGTGCCATCAGCATAAGCACGTAGAATGCAAGCACCACACAGGCACCAGTTCCCAGTCTGCCTGGCTCCCTTCTTGGTATCACAGCCCCTGGTTTCCAGAAAGGAAATCCAGACAGCAAACATGGATGCAGAAGGAACAAATACCTCTTGGTTGTCCCTGGAAACAGCTGGTTTCTGCAGGCAGAGGGCCGGGCAAGGAGTGTCCCTCTGGCCCCCACTCCACATCCCAAGGAATTCCCCTCTCTGTGAGCATGGCAGAGGGATTTCCCCCTCACCACAGAGCCCGACATCACGTCTTTATCTTTAAAGGGAACTCATTTCCCAGGGAATGCTTTGAAGTGGAAGAGTAATGCTTAGAAATATGACCTCAGCATCTGCACACAGCTCTCTGGACACAGGCAGATTCATCAGACTATCAAAGCACCCAAAGGTCTTCAAACGTGTTTGCCTGATCAGTGCCCCATAGGAGGCTCCCAAGGGAACACACCCATGAGGTGAGTCTATGAGAGCAACCCATGGCATTTGGGCCCAGCTCTGCTTCATGCCCTTAGCAAACAGACCCTTGCTAACAAAGTCAGGAGCTCCCAACCTTGCCCAGCCAATACCCCTGAACCACACGTACAGGATCACAAAATCATATGAGTTGGAAGGGACCTTTAAAGGTCATACAGTGAAACTCCCTTCCCAGCATCCTTGCCTTTCTACAGGCTGCAGCATGAGCCACGCACAAGGCTCATCCTCTCCACTCTCACGGGGAAGTGATTTGCTTTCACCACAAACAAACCCTGATCATTTTTCAATCACAGCAAGCTCTGCCTACCTACTCACCCTTCTAATCCTGCAAAGCTGGAAGCAAGGCTCTGCTGCAAGGTGTCTTTGAAAAGCAGTGCGAATTTACTGGAGCAGCTCTGGTGCAGCTGTGCCTTCCAGCCCAGGGCTGCTTCACAGCACATGAATCCCCTACACACCCTTTTCCATGCTCCTATCCTATTTACAGTCACAGCAGACACTGCTAAAGAGCCTGTCCCCTTCTTTCTTACAGCCCCTATCTAGATACTGAAAGGCCGTCCTCAGGTCTCCCCAGAGCCTTCTCTCTTCCAGGCTGCACAGCCCCAGTTCTCTCAGCCTGTCCTCATAGGCAGGTGTTCCATCCCATGGAGCATTTTTGTGGCTCCCCCCTGGTCTCTCCTGTACTGAGGATTCCACATCTGGATGCAGCTCTCCAGGTGAGGTCTCACAGCACAGAGCAGAGGGGCAGGATCACTTCCCTGACCTTCTGGCCACCCTGCTTTGGAACGCAGCCCAGAATACAGTTGGCTTTCTGGGCTGTGAGGGCACAGTGCTGGCTCATGACCAGCTGTCACCCACCAGTACCCCTAGGTCCTTTTTGGCAGGGCTGTGTTCCTTCCTTACATCCTGCAGTTTGTTCTGACAGCAGCAGTAGCCGCAACCCAGGTGCAACACCTTGCACATGGTTTTGTTGAACCTCACGAGGTTCCCCTGCTCCCATTGCTCAGCCTAAGTCTCTCTGAACGGCATCCCACCCCTTGGGCACATCAACCACGACACATAGCAAACTTGCTGAGGGTGCACTCAATCCTTCGGTATCACTGACACTCGTCCCAGTACTGACCCCTGAGGGACACCACTTGTCACAGATCTGCATGCAGACACTGACCACCACTCTTTGGGTACGAGCATACCACCAGTTCCTCATCCACTGAGCAGTCCACCCATCAATCCAATTTGGAGAGAAGAATGTTATAGGCGGACCGTGTCACAAAAGCCTTACTGAAGTTTGGATAGATGACATCGGCAGCTCTTCCCTTGTCCACTGGTACAGTTACACCATCACAGAAGGCCACCAGATTGCTCAGGCAGGATCTGCCCTTGGAGAAGCCATGCTGGTTTTCCCGTAACACCTCCTTCTCTTCCATGTGCCTCAGCATAGCTTCCAGGAGGATCTGCTGTCGGATCTTCCCCAGCACAGAGGTGAGGCTGGCAGGCTGGTAGTTCCCTGGGTTGTTTCTACCCTTCTGACAAATGGGTACAACACTGCCTTTTTTCCAGGCACCAGGGGCTTCACCTTACTGCTGTGACTGCCACACTTGATGATATTTGAGAAATCACACCTCCTTGCTAAAGAAGCTGGTGACAAAATTTTCAAGGGATGCCAGCATCCACTTTAAAGCATCCTGTAATCCGGCACAGAACCTGCATGCCCTCTAAAAACCACACATAGAAGTTATATCAATCAGTCATGCCAATCAGCTATCCTGAGAATCTTAGTCTGCATCTAGCACTTTAGGTAAGGCAAATCAGAGCAAGAAGGGGCAACCAAGAAAAGCCTGCAGGACTGAAACATTACGGCAAGGAGCTTGGAACAAACACTCAGGACTTTTCTGCTCGGTTCCTTCTTCAGAAGTGAAACAAAAAGTAAACCAAGCTTGCAAAAGGGCAAGGTGCACTGAGTGCAGCCCATGTCTACTGCTGTCGTTGGCTGGTCTGAGGAATGGGACCAGCGTGGGCAATGCTGCAGGGTGCTGGGGACAGTCCCCTCACAGCAGGTGACACAAAGGGCTGTCCCTGGAAGGCAGCACAGGGCCTCTAATAGTCCAAACACTTTATCTGTAGCTGAGAAATGATTCAACACTCAGGCCTCTGGCTCCCAACCCAACCAAAGCCGACCAAATAAAAAGAAAGAAAAAAAAAAAAAAAAGGAAAACATAATGTATGGCAATCAGAGAACTCCACAGAAAAAAAAACATTAGCCTCATGGAAAAGCATATTGTTCCCAATGCAGAATATATCAAGCTGACTTATAGATTTTCCTCCACAAAATATGAAACCTGGATCCGAAAGGCTATTAACTCCAGAGAGATCCATTAAAGACGCCTGTCTGCAAATGGTATTTAAAAGTATTGCATCACCCTGGATATTGTCATGTTCTTTGGTTATGATCTGACTGCGGGTCACACAGTTAAAATTGCCTCCAAACCCTAAAATTCTTGATGTAAAGAAAATAATAATAATGTTCACCAGCCTAGAACACGGACTATTCTATCAGCTCCAACCGAAGCCCATAAATATTAATGCATCCATAATTAGCCTTTTTAAATAATGCACCCAAAATTAAACATCAACGCAGTAATAAATCAGTCAGGGCTCTTTGTTGTAGGTTTGTTGGGGAAGGGGGGGTTCTTCTGCTGCTATATAAGGCACATAAAAAGAAATGCCAATTCCCTCGCCAGCTTTTCCCACTGGACCAAAATGTTGTGGCCCCAATTGGACCAATCTGATCCTATTCCTACTGAAAAGTCTTGTTGCTTTCATTTAGAAAAATAAAAGTCACATCTGCTTTTTGATTTGCAAAATAATGACATGCAGCCATCCTGAGCCAAAGCTGAGCTAATGTTATTGAAACCACAAGACGTGAAGGGAGACAAAGCTCGTGAGTCAAGGTGAGGGAGAAAGTCAAGTCTGCAGGCTGCCCGCTCACTGCCGCAGCACTCTCCAAGCACAGCCCCTCTCCCAGCACCCAGGGCTGTGATGCAGGAGGTTTGAATGGCCGGCTGCTCGTTGGCCCTTTCTGTTTTGCTCTCTGCCTCCACACCCTGAGCTTTTCAGCAGCATGCTGCTCCTCAGCAGGAGCACAAGCAGAGGTCCTCTGACTCATTCCCTTTGGAGCAGCCGGCACAACGGAGTGCCTGCAGCTCACCTGCTTATCCCTGACCAAAAAGCAAAATGCAGCCTGCTCGCTGAGCACACTTGGAAAGAGCCATCAGCAGTGGAACCCCCTAAGCCGGACTAGATCCTTCACAAAAAAGGCTGCCCCAAAGAGATCACTCCTCATTTGCTTATCTGTAATTACTGATCAGTCTGAGCACCACCATCCGTGGGAGGCTTCTGGCAGCAGAATGAAATCGCTCGCATTCTCCAGCTCCAAATTCTCTGCCCAAACACACCCCAGCATCTTCCCCGACACTCTGCCTGCAGTTCGAGCACAGTGTCCTCAGCACCTCATCAGCAGCTGCCTGGTAGACTTGTACACTGTGCTTAGACAGCACATCAATAATCCCCACCTCCTCTATTTTATCACATGCATATCTCAAACTGCCTAAAGACCCACGCTTAGAGTAGATTTCAAGGCAGCCTGACAAGAAAGCAAATTCACAATTACTTCCACTGAGGAAATTCTTGGGTAACTGCCCCACGACATGCAGCATGTTCCATTCAGTGTTGCTGTAACTTTCCAGCCCTCCCTCCAGCAAGCCTGGGAAGCAGGTACTGTCACAGGAAAACACAGGCTCTCCTTTTGCCTAGCCAACTCACTCCTATTAACTGTTTCCAGGAATAACAAGATGCTTGGCATTTTCAGTCACATGGACTGCTCCAGTCTGCAATGCAGTAAATTTGCTTTTTCTTCCAAAGCTTTTTCCAACCGAAAGCCCTGTTCTTAAGTGAGGTTCTGCCCTGGTTCTGCATGTTCCCACACATCCAAACCAACTGTGAGCTCTCTGGTCACTGCCCCAGTTTTCAAAAAGAGGGTTCTCGCTGCCAATACCGCTGTGCTCAACCTTCCTTTCTGCTTGCAACATCAGCACCCACAAATGGATATCTCTTTGATCAAGTCTCACACTGCCCAGCCCATCTGCTCCCAGAGCACACTCACGAAGCCCAGACCACTTACGATTGATGGACGCTGCAGTTATAGAAAACAAAATCCACAGAGGCGAACTTTTTCCCAGTCTCCTTAGATTTCAGGTAGAGTTTCACCACCCGCTTATCTCCTGAGAGAGAACAAGGCAGAGAAAGGCATCAGAAATGACACAGTGAAATGAACACCCGGGCATGTGTTCAGCCCACGGCTTGTGATGGATTGAAAGAATCTGGGCAACAATATCCATTCTTGTTAATTAACAAAATCCCAAATCTAGAAATAAAAGGAAAGTGCCCATCCATATCCACCCAGCCACTAAGTGGGCCAGCAGGGCCCAGGAGCAGCATCAAGCCCCTTTAGCTAAATACAGCACAGGGACAGATGCCTGCCCTGGGGTACGAGAGTGGCACTGGAGGAGAGTTTAACAGTTCCATGGCCAGCAGTGTCCATAGACATCTACAGAAACTGTCCACAGGTTTGGAATGAGGCTGGCATGCACAGGCTTTGCAGGACTGCTGCACTGAACATTACTGTGTCAGCATGAAGCTGCACCCACGGCTTGGAAAAGAGCAAGGACATCAAAGCATCACTCCTGGAGAAGCAGCAATGTCCTTTTACTCCAGCACCCCAAGAACCCACTTCCACCCTGCTTGGGGCTGGGGATCACAGTCACAGGACTGTTCTCCCCAGCGTCTGCCTATGGGGCAAAGCCAAGACAAAGGACACAAGCTCACCACGGCCCCTGGTGATGGGAATGACGTCCCTGGCAGATGGAGAGCTGCAGTAGATCTTCCCATCTTCAATGCGGCTCTCGGACTCAGTGAAGTCTTCAAAGGAGCAGTTGACTCCCGCCGAGAGGTCGGGGACGTTCCAGGCCTGCAGGACCAGCTGTGGGAGAGAACATGGAGCACGGCCTTAGGAAGCTAACAAAATGACTCCTTTGTGTCTGCTGTGTGCAAACAGCCAACAGGAAAACCAGGGGTGCAACACCCCTCCCCGGTCCACACACATGGTCCCCATGCAGGACCTCAGTGCTCAAGCCAGGAGAGCAGATGCAAATGGCTTAGAATCCTGAATGCATCACATCCTTTGCCCTCTGCTGCACCACAAACCATTATGTCTCACCGCTCTGCAGAGACCAAGCACAGTGTTTGGCTAAAGAATGCTTTACAGAAAAGCATCTACTTCTGCAGACATCAAGAGGGAAGGAATTCACCTTTTTCTCTGCAAATTCATTGCAGGGGTCAGCAGTTCTCACTTTACAAAACGCTTGCCTTATTTCTAATTTGAATTTTTCTCAGCTTCCAGCCATTAGTTCTTGTTATGCCTTTCCTTGATAGATTAAAAAGCCCTTTAGTCCCTGATATTTGCTCCTCGTAAAGGCACTTATACTCTGTAATCAAGTCACCTCTTAATCTCCTTTTTGATAAGCTAAGCAGATTGAGCTCGGGAAGTCTCTCACTGGAAGGCATTTTCTTCAGCCCCAACTCATTTACATGCTGTTTACTGAAGGTGCTCAGCCTCCTTTAAGCAGCTGTCTCCGGCCCGAGTGCTGCATCCCAGCACTAATCACAGCAGACCCCAGGGTATAGGCAGCTAGCAGGCACAGAGAGAGCAACAAATGCCTTCCAGCAATGCCCAGGGAGCACCAGCAGCCCTTCCTGGGATCAGCGCACTGGGATCTTTTCCAATATCACCACTTCCCAGGACATCTCTCAAAAGCCAGCCTTACTCCTCAAAGTCCAGACCTGGCAGTATCAAATCCACTTTCCCCACTGAGCTGGCACAAACCCCGTGGGGATCTCCCCAGCACCCCCTAACACGCCACTCCGTTGGTCTCAGCATCCTCTGCAGATCTCATCAGCTGCAATTCTGCATTTGTTTCCACATTACCGATGAAAAGCCAAAGCTGCACTCCAATCCCTGCAGAAGCACTTTCAAAATGTTTCCATTCAGTGACAATTCCCCTCTGACAATGACTTTTTGAGATCTGTCACGGAGCCAGTTCTTAATCCACTTAACACATGCTTTATCAATATTGTATAATGCTAATTTTTAATCAGAATGTTGTGTTGTACCGAGTCAAATGCCTTGTACAAGTCTAGAGACATCACATCCCTGCAGTCCCTCTTTTAATTCAAGTCATAATTTCATCAAAGAACAAAATGTGGTTTGTTTGACACAAAACTACATTGACTAGCATTAATTATATTCCCATCCTTGATTCTCCATCAGTTGTATCCTGCCTCATTTTTTTCCACTAGTTTTTCTCAGCTTGATGTCAAACCAAGCAATCTTGAGCCACTTGGGTCATCCCACGTGCCCTTCCAACAAGAGTCTTTTCTGCTTGCTGGACTTTTCTCAACATCCACTTCTTTATTACAAAGCTCCATCTGCAAGCCAAGGAACTCTTAGGCCAACTCCTTCAGGACTCCTGAGTGCCAGACATCCAGACCTGGCAGCTTGCAAAAGTTTATTGCTAGTATACGCTGTTTTGCATTCTCTTTACAGTGCTAATGGCCTGGAAAATACTTCATGGAAGTACATCATCCTTTCTGTCTGCACAGACAGAGCAGTGAGCTGTGCATCTAAGTCACATCCCAAAATATCTACTACTGGCCGCTGTCAGACAGGATATTGAGCTAGATGGATCTCTGGCCTACAAATGGCAAATCTGATGTTGTTATTTATACTGTGGAGAAACATTTATTGCTTGGTTACATCTTTTCTGAATAGTAATCAACAGTTTTATTATCTGCATCCAGCAACAGGCCGGCCCTCATCAATCCCCTACGTTTTATTTGTATCAGATCTCTCTTCTCGTTTCTCCCTATCAGTCGCTCGTTATTTAACTTAATCGCTGCCTTCCCAGCCCTGAGGACTTACCGGGACCTCAGACATGGTGACTGAGATGTTCCTGGGCTGCACGGTGAGCTGCACGCACTGCCGCAGCTCGGAGGCAAAACGCTGGGGCTCATCTGCGCGTTCGCAGCGGTCCTTGCGTGAGCATCTGGGGGGATGAAATCACCAAGAAGAGAAGCTGAGAAATACCCAATGGGGGGATGAGGTGCCCAGCAATGGGCCTCCGGTGCCTGAGGTCAGAACAGAAGCTCCGCTTTCCCTTTGTGCCAGCACCTCTGCTACAGCGCAGCCATGCTCACATCCCTCTCCTCTTCTGTTGCAGCATCCCTGTCAAACACACGCAGCTCCCCAACCCCTACAGAGCAGCCTGCAATGCTCCATCACCTCCTCTACGGAGCAGATGACTCCCTCCCCGCTGCTCTCCACGCTTTCTGCAACAACATTATTTCATTATGGGAAGTGTTTTAATTAAATGCTAGGCAAAATGGAGAGAGAAAGTGAACAACGCACACGTCTTACAGTCCTGTCATAAAATCACAGAAACATTAAGGTTGGAAAAGACCTTTAAGACAATCTAGTACAACTATCAATCCATTCCCACCATTCCCACTGACCATGTTCCTCTAGCGTCACACCTCCACAGTTCTTGCACACCTTCAGATGGTGACCCCACCACCTCCCTGGGCAGCCTGTGCCAGTACCTCACCTCTCCTGAGAAGAAATGCTTTCTAATATCCAACCTGAACCTCACCGAGCACAACTTATCCTATCATCTTATTGCTGTTACTTGGGAGAAGAGGCCAACCCTCACCTCACCACAGCCTCCTTTCAGGCACTTGTAGAGAGCAATGAGGTCTCCCCTGAGCCTCCTCTGCTCCAGTCTGAGCAATCCCAGTTCCCTCAGCTGCTCCTCATATCTGAACACTCTTCAGCACCTCAATGTCTTGCAGCGAAGGTCCTACAGCTGAACACAGTGTTCAAGGCACAGCCTCGCCAGAACTGAAACAGCAGGGGCTCCATTCCCCATAGCTGGGTGTGAGGGGCAGGACAGCAGTGGGAAGGATGCAGTCGGCAAAGCTCCGTGGCCGCAGCGCCAGCCCTGGTACTTACACATTGTGGAGGACACACCAGCCACAGTGGGGGTCCCGGGAGCCCAGGCACAGCTCACAGCTCTCGTATTGCTCACAGCTCTCTACCGGCACCCGCGTCACCTGTGGGAAAAGGCAGTGAAGGGGTGCCCAAGGGGACAGCTGGGAAAGCGAGGGTTCAAAGGGAATGGATCCACCACCCCATGGTTCCCCATTGGGAAATGCCTTGGACATCGCATTTCTGAGTCCAGGAACTCTACAAGAACAACCACCACCACCTCCTGGCCAGCCCAGCAAGGCCAGAATGAGGAAACCTTCATCTCTGCAGAGTCTGGGGAATAGCTCAGCCCTGACACCAGCTTCCAATACCTCCCACACACCCCTGCAGCTGGTAGTCCTGCTCCGAAAGGGTTACCACTCCTTTATTAATTGCTCCTCCAGATTTGATTAAAATCCCCTCGTTCTCCGAGCCCTTCGAGCTCTGTTACAACTGTTCATTTAATTACTTTCTACCAGCACTCTGATAACACCAAGCTGCAGTAGGGAAGAGAGAAGCTTTTATTAAGGAATGGGAAGGAGAAGTGGGGGGGACAGGATGGGGGCTTGGGAAGCTCCTCCCCTCCTCTGCTTCCCCAGTCTCCCCTCCTCTCCAGAACCCAGAAACACAGCCTCAATCCCAGGAGCTCCTATCAAAGGGAGGGAAAGCTGTGATGCTCCATGGTGAGGAAGACAGAGGGTGGAGAGAGCAATGGGTACAGCACTGGGAGACTTCCACTGTGAGCTGTAGTGTGGCACTGCCCTTGTTTTGAATTTTGCAGCCTACAATTTCTGCCTCACCTGGAAAGCCTCAGGTTTCCTGCAGACCAGAAACCAGAGACAGGAACTGGGAGGAGGGGGGAAAAGATTCTGCCATCCCCGTGGGGCTGTCTAGACAAATGCAAGGCCCTGCTCCAGCATCCTTTCCCCTTCCAAAGCCCCGGGCCAGTGGCCAGGAGTTCTGCAGCACTCCCACCCATGCACACCTCTTCCCATCAGGCAGCGCCCAGCACAACTCCAAACTCCTGAGACATTCTTGAGATAACCCTGGCTGAGAACGCTCTGCCCGCAGAAAAGCTTCCCAAAGAGAAGTTGAGGAGGAGCTGGGGCTGAGATACCAGCACAGAATTGGTTTTCAGGGAAAAAAACAGCCCCTTGATCTCCTTCTCACCGGGGAGGAGCACAGAGTTGCCACCCCTGGGCTGGGCTCTCTCCTCCTCTGCCACCCAGGCTGGATATGGGGAGGAGACAAGGCCAGGCTACAAGGCTGTGACCACACAGGAGCCCGACAGCTCCAAAAAGTGCCATTGCTGCTCGGCACAAAGCCCTGACGCAGCGGGGACCTCACCCGTGCTGGCAGCCCTTTGATGGATTAACTTGTAGCAGCAGGCTCTCCAGCAAGCCCAGGAGCATGCAAACTCTCTCACAGCCAACTAAAACTTCTTATCGTGAGCACCAACCACGCTTTCAGGATGACAGCTGCATGCCCATGCCTGAGTTAGATTTGTTCCTTTGGATAGCTCTGAACTGGGGATGGCAGCAGTAGGCACAGAGGGGACACATCAGCTGTACCAGCTCCAGCCGATGGCTCCCCTTGCCCCAGGGTGCAAAAGCAGCTATTCCAGAGAGAACAGGCTGCTCAGAGCAAGGAGCTTCTGCCCACCTGAAGAGCCTGAGGGCAGGGTGGAGGTTCACAGCCCCACAAGCAGGGATGCCAGCTCTCACAGCAGTCCTTGCTCCTCAGGGCACAGGGATTTCGAGCAGCTGCTACTAACAATTAATGCCCGGGGCAGGGACCACAGGGAGGAGAGGAACAGAAGGGCCATGTCTGGGAAATGTGCCCTGAGGTGGTGTTTTTGTACAAGGGGGAGTAGGGAAGAGCTGAGTGTTCCCAGGTGGTATGATTGAGGCGGGACAGAGGTAGCTGGGCAACTCTGGTGGCAGCTGGGGCCAGAGCCTGGAGAGCATGTCATCTGCCCTTCCCAGCCATTAGGGTGAGCAGGCAAGTGACTGTCGGGCAGGGGGTTGTCCCCAGTGAGACATCAAAGGATGAAGAAGGAAAGTGCAGACTGGACATCAGGGCAAAGGCAACAAAGACAACAGTGCATCTGAGGGATGCCACCAGCACGGCTGGGCAGGGAACAGAGAGGGGGAAAGACAAGTGACACAGCATGTGGCAGCGGCGCGGCTTTGGGGGCTGCAGCCCCCACCTCTTACCTGCTTCTCAGTCATGGCGTAGAGGTGCTGGCGGTCAGGGCTCAGCACCAGGTCCCGCAGGATGGAGCTGCCTTCATGGGCCACCACGTTCTCATACTGCAGCGTTTGGTGCTTCCTGTCAGCCGGCAAGTCCACCAGGATCTGCAGGAGAGAGCAAGGAATAAGCACAGACCCACGCACCCTTCACCTCTGCCTGGGTGGGGAAAGTGCCCCATTATTGGGATGCTGTCCCCTCATCCCTTACTGGAGGCGACAAGCTGTGGCCGCTGCAGCATGGCAAAGCAGCCCAGACCCTATCATCACCTCAGCACTCCCTCAGCAGCAGCAGAACCACACACAAGCCACAGGTGAGATGTACACATCCTGCTAACACCAACCCAAGCGGATGGGCTGTGGAGAACCCTCTCCCCCCCCCCACCCCCCCAAAAAAAATACTACATCTCATCCCAAGCACTGCCTTGTCTTCCCAATCCCCCTCCCCATTTGCAACGTTCCCAATCAGGAGCTGGGAAAGCCAGATCCTGTTGTGCAGCTGATTAGCATGGAAATGTATGCGGCTCACAAACAAACCGGGGCCCGTTTAATTAGAGCGACGCCTTTGATTCACCGCCAGCCTCCTGCAAGCACCAGTCCCGGATTATTTTTAGGCCATTTTACAAAACAAATGTATTTAATTAAAAAAAGAGACCCCTGAGCAGCTGGGGAGCAGCAGTGCATGGAGGGACCTCAGGACTGGCCTTACTGAGGCAGATACAGCCTGCTGGAGCCCATGCCACAGCCAAAAACACCCCTTCTCTGCTTCCCTCCCCTGCTGCACACCTCTACGCCCATTTTCCCGTTACTGAGGGACACTCCCTCCACGATAACCCCAAACAGGTCATCTGTCCTTCAGCATGGTTTGCCAGACCCACCCACACCACGCTCCCCATCATCACTATGACACATACCACCACATGCTGAGAACCCAAGAGATGCCCAAAGCCCATCCCAAAGCCTTCGCCCGCCCTTCTGGGGGTATCTCCATGCCCACAGCTTCAAGACCACATTCACCTCACTCCAACATCAGAGCTCAAACCCCCAGCACCTGTACAGGGAACATCCCACACAAAGCACCCAGCATCACCCAAGGTCCCCCCAGAGGAGGGTTTTTACTGATCCCAGCAGCAGCATCCATCCCTCGCTATGGCAACGTGACAAATGCACCTTTCCAGCCCTTTTATGGGCCGTAGCTGCGGCGCAGAGGAATCGATACAGTTTTACCCTGGTTCTAAAATAGATCTACGGGTGGATGTCACACTGGCAGTAATTTTTAACTAGCGGGGTAATTTCCCCATTACATTATTGCACTGCGCAGTGCTGGGAAAGAGAAAGAGATGTATCAAAAAAAAAAAAAAAAAAAAAGCAAAAAAACCAACAGACGTGAAGCACTTCCAGTTAATTTGAGGCTCCAGGAAGGACCTAAAAATAATCGCTGTAAGCAAAGAGGCGGCGGCACACGGAGCGCTCCGGTGGGGTCTGCGATGCACACAGCTCCCACTGCTGAGGATGTTCTAATTGCAGGTCTGGGGGACAGCCAAAATGAGGTTTGAAGACCTGGGTGGGCTGCTTGGGCCATAGGACGGCGGTTTCCCAAAGCTAGAGGATGAGATGAGCAGCATCAGTTACCGGCATGGGGCTGATCCCAGCCCATGCCCACCTGCGGGGCCGGCGGTGGCTGGGGCAGGGGGAGAGGATGTGCTTTAATCAGAGCAGCCCCCTCGGAAGCACGTGCCTTCCTGCCCACCCTGCTTCCCTTCCACCCAGGGGAAAAGACATTTACCAAAAAAAAAAAAAATCTATTAACCTTTCTCCTCATCCTGACGCTGATATAATTACCCAATACTAATAATTACTTGCACTAATTTCTCGCTCTGGATTCCTGCCCTTGCTCTACCTGTCTCCGCGCAGCAGAGCCGGCTGCTTCAGGCTTGAGCTTTGCTTCCTATGGGGCTGGAAGGAATCACAGGGCTACAATGAAATGAAGGATGCTACTGCCTCTCTCCAGCCCCACTGAGGCATTGGGGTGCCTCTACTAGCTGGCATCATCCCAACCACTGCCATATCCTTGAGCTCTGGATGAGTCATGCCCTCCTCGTGTGGGCTTCAGACAGGGAGGCTGACGATGGATGAATGGAGCAAAGCACCCTTGGGTGGAAGACACCACAGAAATTAAGTTGGTGGTTTGTGCACACAGCTGGAAATTCAGTTGTGGATAACAAAAAACACTCATCAGAGCAAAACTTATTTTGCTTAAATAAACCCTTTGCTTTCTCACCTGCTACCAGGCACTCTTCTTCACAGAATATCCCCAGTTGGAAGGGACCGATAAGGATCACTGAGTCAACTCCTGGCTCCACACAGGACCACTCAAAAACTAGACCATCTTCCTCCCAGCTCGTGTATTTCATCCCTTGACCTAAACGACTTCAAGGAACCTACAATGGCAACGTGCACAGCTCGGGGTTGAGAAGCTACCCAGCTTGGCAAGGCAGGTGGTGATAGAATCATTAAGATTGGAAAGACCTCTAAGATCACCAATGCCAACCCCCACCATGCCCATAACCACATCCCTTAGTGTCACATCTCCAAGGTTCTGAAACACCTTCAGGGACTCATGACTCCACTTCTCCTTGGGCAGCGCCATCACTGCTCTTTCTGAGAAGTATTTTTCCCGATAGACAACCCAAACCTCTACTGGGTCAACCAGAGGCTGTTACCCCTCGCAGGCAGAGATGAGAGGACCCAAGAGCAGCCATGGGCAGCCCGGCGCTGTACAGCTCAGCCCCGGCACAGGCACAGCGGGTGGGGAGCGAGCACAGCCGGTGAGGAAAGCGGCTGCCAACATACCAGGGCTGCCTTTGGATTTAACAAGCAGCAGCAGCAGCAGCCAGGGCAGACTGCACGGCACAGCTGCACGGCACCGCGGCACACAGACAGTGACCAAGAGAGGAGCTGGAGTCACCCACACCCCTGCAGGGGGACACCTGGCTCTCCCACCCCCTGCCCGCTGCCGGCAGCCCCCTCCTCTTGGCACGAGAAGTGCTCGGCGACGCTTTGTGCTCTGCTCTTATCTGCGCGCGGCTGTGATTAATGCTCAGCGGCTGGCAGGAGAGACGAGAGGAGGGCGCTTTCGCCCGCCTGCCACACTTCAAAGGCAGGGACTTATCTGCCTCAAACACACTCCGCAGCCTTTTCACGGGGACCCTTTCCAGTTCCACGGGGCTCGCACAGCGCTGACAGGCAAGGAGAAAGGAGGGCTTATTTACAGGAGCGCGTTTCAAAGCCTTCCCCGCTCTCTCCCCAGTACTCACCGGGGATGTAGCGAGTGGTAAACCCGCAGGGACAGCCCTGTGCCACAGCTCTGCAGAGCCCAGGACTGCAAGTGGAGGGTGACAACACACGGGGGGCCCCAAGGGTCCCCATGCTGCAGAAACCTCAGTATCATGCAAAATACCTCCCCAAGGCCAGACAGGACCTGCTCAGCCCCAGCTGACCTGGGGTGGAGGTGACAGCTGCTGGGGAGAGTCACCCAATACCACACAGCCCAGCTCAGGGCAGGAAGCAGAGGATCCTATGTCCAGCCCTGTGCATGTGGCCTGGGCTCACCCCGAGGCAGCCGGGCCCCCAGCACCCCCACATGCCTTCCCCGCACCCTCAGCCCCAGGGAGCAGCAGCACGGCAGCTGCCACCCGCATGCCCTTCTCTAGTTTCCAAAATGAGGTTCCTGCATCAGCTGCTCCAGGAGGAACACTCCTTTCCCCTCTCTATCCCTGCTCAGCCACCTCGAAAATGCAGGACTAGAAGCAGCTGTGAGGCTGCAGCATCAGCTGTCCTCGGGGAGGCACAGTCGATGCAGACAGTGCTTTTGGATAGGGGGTGCTGGCTGGGGACAACAGCAGGGACAAGTGTTCGGGGACGAGGTGAGGATGTGGTGCTGAACACTGTGCTTCAGGTCACCAAAACCCTGCATCCAGCGAGGTGAGGATGAGCACCAAGCAGATCACCGCTGGGATGGCTCAGCACTGCCAGGAAGCATAGACAAAGAGGACTGAAGTGCAAGGACATGGGCAGCAGGAAGGGGGATTTGGAGATGCATTCCTGCCACATCCCAGCAGAAAAATGCCAGCAATGCAGCCTGGGCAGGCAGCAGCTGCCCCACACTGGAATGTGCCCATGACTCCCCCGTGGCCACTGCACTGCAGCTGAGTATTTCTGGGGGTCTGACACAGCATTCTGGGGGCACACAGAGCTCAGGGAGATGTCAGCAGGCAGCACAGGGCCAAGATGCTGCTTCCGCACTCATAACACACCGAGGGCAAAGGGTGAGCTGAGCTGCCATTCAGTACAACCCACTTATAAAGATTAATACAAGCAAGACTCACGTCCTAGGCCCTGCATTGCCGTGAGCCAGAGAATATTGGAACTTTAATTATATCAGTATAATAAAGCAAAAAACAAGAAGATACTTAATCTAAATCAACGCCCGTAACAGCGACAAATCCCAGCAGCTGACCTGCACTGTTAGCTGTGACACTGCATTTGCAGCGCATGTCACCACAGTGGTCACGTCCCTGTGGTGGCACCAAGAGCTCAGTCACATGGACTGAGGGCAGATGGGTTACGACCAGAGGTTTTGCCATGGGATATAGCTGGAGGGGCTGCAGGCTGCCTGCAAAGCTTCCCAAAACCACGTGGTCCCTTCACCCAAAACCACAGTCCTACCAGCTCCATGCCAAGAGCAGGAAAAGCATGAATGCAAAGCAAAGAGTGTCTAAGGGAAAGGGGGATTACAGCAGAAGTTACCCAATTCAGCTTCTAGAGTGAGCAGGCGGCTGCCTGGAGCAGGGTGCTCCAGGAAGCACAAGTTTGGGAGCAGCTGCATCAGTTAGAATTGCCCCAACAGCAGAAGGGATGGAGAACCACAGCCCACCTCACAGCTCAACCAGCTCTGATGGAACCAAAAAGCTCTCACTAAGACCTTTTGCATCAGTTTGTAGGAAAACTGAACTACTGGAGAGAAGGACCTGGTGCCAGAGCTGCAGCCTCCAGTAAGGAATTGAGATAGAGTCAAATGTCAGCAAAAGAGGGATGTGGGGAGACCA